TGAGGCTGGCAGTATTATAATTCCTATATCATTATATCTCACAGACTCGGAGTTTCTGTGGTGGCACGACCTGTGCTCATGAAGTCCTGAAAACCTGGTGTTAACCTGTGTTAACCTCGTCGTGTTAAGGTACGATGAGTGGGGCAGATGCAAGGAAGACGGGGTTAATTTCGTACAAACCCAGAAGGGTTTATGCCGTAGTTTACTGCCAAACCCACCATCAAACCGGCTTCCACTGATGCCTAGAATTGGGCAGAAGCAAGCTTTTCTGAAGACTTCAGAAAACTTCACTGTCTTCAGTGAAGTTTTCAACTTCAAGTTCAACGAGCAATTCACGTTCTGCAATCCAATTTCCATTGAAGATGGACTGCATGATCCGATGGAATTGGGTCATCTCAAGCTGGGCTATCCAAGCACGCCCTTCCTATAGTCTCTTGTGTAATTGAAATTTGAGCAACTCCAGTTGCGTAGGAGGTCAGAGATGGATGGCCAAAAGAGGAAGCGAAGGAAGAAGGGGAGGACGCATCTCAGCACACCAAGGAAGCAGGGAAGGAAAGGACGACATCCTGTGGCAGAAGATGCAGACATTCTGGATCAGCAGGCAGTAGTCCTGGAGGCAAACAATGATGAATGCAGTAGCGAGCCCGAATCTTGCAGCATTTCAGATGGTGCTTTTCCAGGGGAAGACACCCCGTTTATGGGGGGAGCCAAGCCGCAGGTCCTGTCGGGGGAAAGCGAGCCTATTGAAAAGATAGCCCCGTCCAATCAGGAGGGCATTCAGAAGCAGCAGGGAAGTGAAGAGCAGCGACAGGAGCCAGAGCAGGAGAGACAGCTGGGGCAATCAGTGCAGAAGGTTTCGCTTCCACCCCTTCCAATTGCCCCGCAAGCGGACATACAAATTGCGGCTCTGCCAGGCCATCAGTCACATCAACGGCTCAAGCCGCTGCGTCCGCTTGGGCCAGCTGGTGTGAATGCCCCCCAGTGGCCTGCACACACATTCTGGATGCACGGTGCTCCGCCATATGCACCCTTGCAAAGACCTTTAGATGGCCATCTTCAGCCCCGTGTCCAGATTCTACAGCCAAACCCCTCTCTTCCCCCTGTCATAATCTACCCTCCCCCAATCATGCTATCTCCTCCTCTGGGTCACCTGGGGCCAGGACCGTCAGCGCAGTCTGCAAGCCTCAACATTGATCCGCAGATCCTCTCTACATGGCCCCCACCAAAGCAGCAGACAGCTGCTGCTGCGCACCCTGAGCTTGTAAAACTGCTGACATGTAGCTGCGATAAATCAGGAAATGAGAGGGGGGCCACTCAGACCCCGGCGGGGGATGCCACGCAACCTGCCAAAAAGTGCGCATGTGATGTCTACAAGTTCTGCAGACAGGTGGGGGCCTTGCCCTTGTCCGAAGACGTCGCCGCTGCCCTTGCAGCCTTTCAGCACGATGACACAACGAGGGGCCGCAAGGAGGAGGCTGTGCGGTACTTTCTGTCCCAGGTGATGCGCCAAGTTCTGGGGTTCAACGTTCCTTTCCTGCACAAGCTCTGTGCCTTGGCTGAGGCAGCCAACGCTCGCTCGCAGTGCGAGGCGACCAAGGGGGCTGGCTTGTCCACAAGGACCGAGTCCCTTTGCAACCTGGTCACGACGTGCTTGCCGCTAAAGCCTGCAACGTCAGCAGAACGAGCGCTGGGGACTGTGTTGCTTCCTCTAGAGTGTGTTGCTGCCAGTCCCTTCATATTCAAGCTCTACAAAGAGCTCAACATGAGCAAAGGGGCCCAGAAGAGAGCACCCACTTAGCTAGCAATTTGATACAGACATGTCAAAAGGTCGACTTGTGTCTGGAATCGATCTCTCGTTAAGAACTCCAGATATGCAGATCTGGAACTTTGTAAACTAGGTACATAAGGCTGTTATAGTAGGACGGGTACTGAATTCTGTGTGTTAGATCCTTACAAGGGCATGCAGCAATTCTTGGACGACTAGCTGCGGTGACATATCATGCTCCGGGCCCATCATGCAATGTATGATGATTGTATGCCTCTTACAGACCGTTGTCAATCCACACATCTGTAGGGTAAAAGCCGTGTCACACTGAGCATGTGCAGCCTGAGTTACGCAGCTGATTATATAGAGTTTATGTTTAGCTTATCCGTCCCAAGTTGGCTAGCTGTCATCAAAGATTGTCTGATTGCAATAGTTCTGGTCAACACCAGCTATCCGACTTAGGTAGTCGAGAGTGAACTTCCTCTTATATGTCCTTCTTGCCATGACGCCACAATCCGGGCCCAAGCCCAGTACATACAGCTAAAGGGTGGTCACCATGGTCTGCTTAATTCATGCATATCAAATCGTCATACACGATATGTCTTATGAGGACCTACAGACAGTACGTACGGTATATACGTGTGCAACACGAAATATATAGTCTGGAGATTGTACCTACACAGCCGGGTACTTGAAACTAAAACATTGAAGGTGCCACCACGAAGTTGCATCAATGATGCCGCCACAACCAATCTGCTTAAAAATGGTGCCAGAATCATCGATCATATCTGATGCACAGTGACAGGGCAGGCCATCATATATGTGCAGATATGATCAATTGTCTGTGGCCGCGGCTTGTAGTTGCGGCAGTGGATTGGAATGGGCATTCATGATTGATTTCACATGGAAGCGACATGACAAATGCAAAACATAATCGACAATGACCAACGTCGAAAATTATGCCCACAATGAAACAGCCGAGGCCACCACATGGGCACCACATACGGGCCCGGCGCAACGACCTCAATGTCTACCCCGCCAAATTGGACGTTCTCAACGAGGGTTAATTGCGGCCAAAACGATCTTAAGATAGCAATCTCAAGCAGCTGCTGTGCCCTTTATGGTCTCACGTGAACGACCTGCTATGAACGTGTTCCAAAGCAGCGCTGAGATACTTTCCTAAGGTGACGCAGGCTGGAGCTCCTCCATTGGCTGACGTGAGCTTAAGCATGAGAGCTCAAACATAACGTGAGCTTTGACCTTCTGCAATGTCAGTGTATTATGGCCTTGACAATCAACAGATTGTGAAGATCTCAACATGTCAAACACATTAAAGTTACAGATCGGCTTACTTGCTTCCTTTGTCCTCCTTCCATAGCTGCCAAAAGTATCCCCCTTCACCACGATACCAGACAGCCAGACGCGAAGGGGGCACGCCAAGTTTGTAGGCCATGATAATAAATTGGTTTGTTAGCTGCAGGCGGATCGTGTATGTGTCAGCGCAGACGAGAAATAAAAGAGTCGTCTCATAGGGTGGTCACATTTGAGGCCGCGACGACCCTTGGGGCCGGAATTCCGGCCCTCGGAGTGGCAAATCCACCCTCGGGGCGGAATTCCCACCCTAAGGTTCGGGGTCGCAACAGCTTTAGCCGATCCAAGACCTCCGAACTAGGGTGGGTTCGCTCAATATACCGTCGCGACTTGAGACTGCACAAAGCGGAAAGTTCTAGCTGTCCAGTCGAGTGGCCCCAACTGCAAATATGACCGAAGTGGGTTTCAAGGGTCGGTGCGCACCCTTCGGGTTCGGTGCGCCGGTTTTCCGAGGATACAGATGTGACCACCCCATCAAATGTGCCTTCAAATCTTTGAGCAGAACGAGAATAACTGAATACGAAAGGAAGTAACCGGCTCACTGCTGAGTCGTAAAATTCCCTGAATTGAGTGGGAGGAAGTGCAGGAACGTCGAGGCAGACCAAATTCAAAAACACGGCTCTGACATGACATTCCAATGACAGACAATGGAATCTCCACAACGAATCTGTTCCACTCGATCAGAACCAGTAACAGCAAGCAAGCAAGAATCTGCAAGCTAGACGCTTTCTTTCAAAAAGCCCGCAGATAAGCATTTGCACAATACGAAAGGTTCTATACAAAGGGAGTAACGAGACAACGCTCCGCCACTTCGTGCGATTCAGATCCACGTAAACTTGTCACGAAATGGACCTCATAAACGAGCGAAGCGCCCAGATTTGAAAGCGGCCGAAGACACAACTTACCGTTGTTTGTAGGACACCTTTCTTCTCCCATCTTCTCGCCGATGCTGTGATGGTCGCATCTATCAGCGTCGGTTGGCTGAGCTTTTTAAGGTCGCGAACCTGTAGAGACACGTAGGATACACGGGCTCACAAAGGGCCTCGGTAAACTTCCACCTGGCTGGCTCCTTCGTCTCGCAGACTGGTTTAGAGTACCATACAGGGTCGAAGATGACTCAACGGAAGGACTGATACAAAGGAGATGCTGCAAGAAGCTCCTCGTGGTGACTTATAGCATCTGCTCAGGCCTCACTAAAGATGCTTTTCAAAGCTGCTTCTGGCAATGTCAGTACTTTAACGCAACGCCCTCTTCGAGCTTAATTCGGGGTGGGCATAATGGCGACAGCGTGGAGCTGTTATGGGAGAAAGTGACCCGCCTCACCAACTGGTAGTCCTCCATGAGGGGCATGTCGCGGTAGCCTCCCACCTCTTCAAACAGGCGGCGGTGGACAAAGATGCCCTGATCTGCAGCACATGATTGCAATGACAGTCAGGTGCCGTCACAACGTATCTCGAGCAGGGCACTTAACCACGAAAGACAAAACCACCAGAGTGAACGTGTTCCGTGGGTTGACAGTGTTCCAATCTTGGCCCGACAAAATCCATGGTCGAGCCTTCAGCGATTTTCTGAGGGGCATGGACGGAATCAGGGCTTGAAGCCCGACCTAAACGACCGTGTGAGCGAATGTTTCCGACCTTGAATCTATCTCAAATACTACTCAAGGTATTCACACAAGGAATTAGGCAAACGCGATCGTGATCAGTGCTCGTTCGTACGCAAAGCAGACAGCGGCTTGCCTCCGTAGGGAAGGTGTTTCCACCTGGTTCGCATCTCGACCCCCTTCTCCACCATCCGGAGCCCTGCGCCAGGGCCGTCGAGTGCGATCTTTGTGAAAGCTCCCCAGCCCGGGGGGGAAGGAGGTCTGCTTCTAGCCATGCCTGCTTTGGTTTGTGGGAGGGTGGCTTCTGGTGGAGGGGATGGTGACCCTGTGTCTGAGGGGCACATGGCATCCAGAATAAGGCTCTGGTACCTGAAGACCAGAATGTTACGAGGTCAGGCACAGTTCTGGGTTGAGAAAGAAGGTGGCTGATTGTTTGCAGTAGTTAACTTGACCCGTAGCAGGGTTAAGTTGCGGAACAGCGGAGTGTAAGTTTTGTGGCTAACGCATACACCCGTTGCCCATCTTTCAAAGTGGTACTCAGAGGGACCACGGCATTCACGAAAAGACAGCCCAAAGAAGCAAAGTAATTAGGACCGAAGTTTCTCGTGGGACCACTCTGCCTTGTATTTTAGGCCCTTGAAGAGTTTACTCAAGCACAATCGCTTCACTTTTCCGATCGCTTAGCTTTTGATTACTTCATTGGCTTTTTGATTGGCTTCCTGCGGATCAACTTGACCTCTTCGAACCTCAGCCACTCACCCTGGGGGAAGAACACAGTCGCTATGCAGAAAGAGCAGCACATCCCCCTTTGCAACTTGGGCCCCCGCGTTCATCTGGGCCGACCTGCCTTTTGGTGCTTCAATAACTCGTGCACCCATAGACTTTGCGATCTCGCGCGTCTTATCCGTAGAACCCCCATCGACAACAATGATCTCTGCCGCACGTTCGGCATCTTTGGGGCTTCGTGCACTGTAGAGAAAGAGAAAGCCAACATCAGGAGTTTTAGAAAGGAGGGGCAGCATGAGCAACTTAGTACTAGTACGAAGGAAGTGGTTGGAGACTGCACTAGTATGCGGTACTGAGCCCTTGAACACCTAAGGAGACAACTCGAGTTCAAACGCCCCCAGGACCCACCCACAATACAATTAGCTAAAGACAAGGATTGGCATTATCCACTTTCCATTTAGCAGATGCTGTGTGCTCCCTCGCTAGAAGTCAACAAGATTGCAATGGAACACACTTTTTGATTTTAAAGTTCCCACCACCATTTGTATCGAAGTTCCCCCACTGTGACAACATGCCCCTGCAGGAACCAAGGAATAGATCAGAGAGCAGCCAGATGTTGCTTTCCCACCTTTTTAGTGCACCGCTGATGTTTGCCTCCTCATTGAAAGCTGGAACAATCACTGAAAGAGTCTCGCAGCTGCACTCTTCCTTGGCTTTCTCCTGCTTTTTAGTGGCCTCATTTCCAGTTCCCTTGGACCGCCCCAAGAACGGAAAAACGAGCATGTTCACTATTGGAAGAACACCACCCCATTCATGGTGAACTCTACGAGACGCAGTCTGAGCAGAGAGGCTACTCGATTGACAGGTAAAGGGGTTGAAGTTTGCCCCAACACCCTATCCAATCATCAGCAACTACTGGCTTCCCTGCAAATTGCTTGCTGAGTGGTTGATGCAGAGCTGTTTGATACAACTCATTGTCTCTCAAGTTTTCCAGTAAAGGAGACTGGGGGCCACATTTAAAAACTAATGCTGGTGCCACCAGACGGCACTGCGCGCTTTTCTGTCAGCTCTTCAAAACAAGTACATGTGGGACTGACGTTGCTTGCAACAGATCGAGCTTCAGAAGCATCTATCCTTGAAGAGCCACAAGATTTTGGAAGGTCGCCATTCCACTTGGCCAGTGCTGCAGAATGTCCTGAAAGGACTTGGCAGACTCACTGTTGAAGGTCAACTCGGACAGTGTCAGCATTTTGACCACTGTATAATTCATTCATTCATTCAAACTTGAAAACTCGCAAGATTGTTCAGAAGTTCACTTCGACTTGGACAAAGTGCGCAGTGTGGCAAGTTTGGCAAGAAATGCCGTTTCAGCAACAATAATCAGGTGTGGAGAGAAGGGAGCACAAAGTAGGATGCTGTACTTTGCTGATTGACAGGTGCATAGCTCACGGGCTGCATATACCTAGCTGGTTCTCTGATGGCTGGCCAAGTCTGTTCCTGACATCAGCAGCAAAGTTGCAAACGAAAGATGGGGTCGAATGTGCTCTTTCGGTGCATTGGCCTCAACCAACCGAAGCAGGTCTCTTTCGTTGGCAAACAAGATTCCTGCATTGCAGAAAGATGCATAGATGCATGTGCTCCGTCTTCTTCACATTCATTCTTCTGTGGCAAGGCAAGGCAACAGACATCGCACGTCAACCGCAGGTTAAAGAATGTTTTTGAAAACCACGCTTTCAACAAAAACTGGGAAAGCAGCCCCTCTGCATTTAGTTCCAAACATGATATATTACGGCCAATGCATCTGGGCGATGGTGGCTTGGAAAGTTCAGTGCATAGACCGGGGAGGCGGAGGAGGGGCCGGCGGCGGCAGGTGCACGTATGTGCAGGGAATGCTTCGGACGCCGACGAGAAGCCACAGATCAATGTGAGCTTCTGCACTACAGTTGCAAAACCTCTCCTCTAGAGGATGAGGTGCGAGGATAGCGATCCTACACACTGGAACCTATCAACAGTCTGCTCATTTGAAACAGTGGGGCAGGTAACTAAGTGAGCCGGTCTGTTTTTCTAGAAAGTTGGCACAACGAAAGCATTCCTAGGACTCCCAATTTAAAACCTTGGACAGCTTCTGTGGTGGTGGTACAGCTTAGTTGTGTGGACTGCAGACAGACCGGCTTGACAGTCTTTCTAATGGCATAGTGGAAGTCGCAGTGTGGGAGGAAGTCTACAAAACGTGCACTTGCCCAGGCTGCTCAAGAAGTGCGTTCAAGGTCTGCCATGACCAAGAATTGTCACATCAAATCACTTCTATTCCTCAAGGCCAGTGTCCCAGCGGATCAGTATATCCCGCCAAGGCCTCATCAATGTCAGGATTCTGTATGAAGTCTAATCCTTCTGATGAGTTTTCTGTGCTGGCGGACCCCACAACTCGAGAATCTTTACGTTGCTCGCAGGGGAAAACAAAGCGAGATATGTTGCTGGAGTACGTCAAGAACGTGAAGCCGGAGTTCATGGATCTCTTCGTCAAGGGCACACCAGAGACGGTATGCAGACTTGCCTACCGGGACATTCATCATTTGAAGGCAGATTGTGGCGCTGCTGAAGCTGTCATTTGATAAGGGAGAGCGCGTACTACGTACTGTCTCCTGACTTTGTAGGCAATCTGACCCAAAACGGACCTCTTGATCCCTTGTCAACTGGCTAAGTATCTGTCAACGCCCTCTTCATCTGAAGTCATTGACAGGTCTGGAGTCATAAACGCACTCAGATGCATATAAAGACAAGCCCCAAACCAGACTCCTACTGATCTTGACCCAGACCCTTTGACTCGGGATATCCAGATTGGACGTGCTGGAATTTTGGAGACCACTTCAGGTAGTTCAGGTCATTGCCTTGATTGTTGCAACCTTCTCAACATGTACTCACATCACTATGAACTAATAATCTCATAAATTTACTTTTGCCAGGTCGTGGACGCCATGCGACAAACGGTGACCAACATGCTCGGCACGCTGCCCCCACAGGTGAAATTCGTCTCACTTCTCTTTAGGTCCTTTCGTTTCTGATGCTGCCCTTTTCGCCAGTGTTATTTCAAAGGGGTGTGAACAAGCCAGAAGGTTCTGCTATGAAGATTGTGCTAGAAAACGACCTTGCAGTGAAGAGAGGGCGTGGATTTTGGAAGAGCGAGACCTGGTAGTGTCATTGAGTCTGCATCGAGAAAGCACATGACTTTTTTGGAACTCTGAAATTTTTGCATTAGTACTCTACATGCATGCCACTGCAAACGTTTGTGCTGATTCATTCAAAGCTCTCTAGGCGCTTTCATTATGTCTTCGTGCATCTCGAGAAATGATCCAATCAGGCCTTCACAGTCCTGTGATCTTCTATGCCAAGGACCCTCTTCATTGCCCTAGGACTTTCACGACGACCATCCCTACACCGTCTGCCCTCTTCTAACGAGGCCCCTTCTCCTTACAAAGGCGACATCGTACTTGAATGTTCTAGAAAAGTCTGCTCGAGTTCCTCGCAACCTCTTCGCTAGGTTTGCACCAGAGCTGTTCTTTGTTGCGGGGTCTTCCAGGTGACAATTTGCGACGTGGCGAGACCCCGGCGCAGATCATGTACAGCGTACCGACATCCTGGGCCATTGTCGGGAAAATCGAGTGCCAAGCTTTTCGAGTCTTCCAGAAACCCGTTGTTCATTTCATTCCGTTCCATTCCGTTCCCCCGCAGTTCTTTGGAGTGACCATCCTGACGGTGGGCGAGAACCTGGCGCAGCCGATGTCAAGTGTACTGAAACTGCGAGCGAGATCCGAATTCAGCAGATTGTCCGATATTCTTAGGATCCCGCTTGAGTACCTCACGACCTCAATCAGAATGTCCAAAAATACAAGAACTTAAAAAAAATCAAACCTTCAAGGCCGTTCCTCCTGCAGTTTTTCGAGGTGACCATCTCGACGGTGGGCGAGAACCTGGCGCAGCTGATGTACAGCGTGCTGATGACGGGCTACATGTTCCGCAATGCCTACTACCGCATGGAGCTCGCGCACACGCTGGATCTGCAAGCCCTCCCGGACCCAGAGCGCTGCAAAGAGGTGAGCATGGTTCGTTCAGGTTCGTTTGAAGACCTGTTAGACTAACTTAGTTGCTCTCAAGCAAGCTTAGCTGTGCGGTTAGTCAGACACACAGAATGGTTCGCGCACACGCTCCACTTGCAGGCGCTGCCGGACTCAGACCTTTGCAAAGAGGTGAGTAGTATTCGGCTTTGCCGGAAGACCTGTCAGACGGGTCCGTCTTTAATCAAGCTGTTATGTCGCTGAAGATTCGGACGTACGAACTAGGCATGGAGCTTGCACACACGCCGTGGACCTGCAGGCTTTGTCAAACCCAGAGCGCTGCAAAGAGGTGAACAGGGGCTGATTCGAAAGCCGGCCGGAGAAGTGATTCTGTTGACAACAGGCACGTGATGATCCAGGTTTAACACGTCAGAAGGGTCAGACCAAACAGACCGACGGGTCGTACCTGTGAATGTACGGATTTGCACCGAGCGCGGACAGAGGAGACCTGCGCCCTCAGGCTTCGGACCAATGGCTGCCACAGGATCGAGCCGCGAAACATGGAGATTGTAAAAAAAAGCCCTTTGATAAGCGGAATCGCTGAGAATCAGCATCTACTGGTCGTGGTCAGAAAAGGTCTTGCACGGAGAGGAGGGTAAATATGTGAGCGGACAGCGGAGCGGATCAAACAGAACGCAGGGACACCGTGCGGTTGACCAACCAAGTCGGTCATCCTCATGCAGGCGGTTTCGCGGCACGCTCTGGGAGTCCGCACGAGTCTTGTCTCAAGCAGACTTCTTTCCGGGAAAAGGTTCAAGGATCGGAAAAACAAGCACTCTGAACGACATTGTCTCCATTCTTTGTGCAGGTGGACTCGCAGTCGCCTCGGGGGTTCGGACGACCCCTGTGCCCTGGGAATTGGTCCTGAAGTTTTGCACAGATGTAACTCGGAAACCCCCAAGAATACAGAAACAAACCAAAGCCAAGCCACTATGCGACCAGTCAATCGGCTCCTCGTTGAACACAGGCGGACTCGCACTATGCCCCGGGAGTTCAGACGACCCGCGTGTCCGGGAGGTCGTTCGGTGGCACAAGGTGAACGGCTCGAAGACGTCACCCGAAGCTGTGATCGAACAAAGATGCAAAACGACTTTGTATCTTTCAACCACCTTTTCCATATTGTTTGCTTTTCTAACACAGGCGGAGTCGGACTACGTGCCCGGCGTCCAGACGACCCGCGTCTCCGGCGAGGTCGTTCGGTGGCACAAAGTGAACGGCTCGGAGGCCCAACTCAACACTCTCCTCAAGGGGCAATGGTCTCTTTCAAACGAACAGAAGCCGAAGACACTCAATTCGCAACCGTAAACCAGCTTTTCCGTCTCAACACAGGCGGAGTCGCATTATGCCCCGAGGGTCCCGACGATCCGCATGTCCGGCGAGGTTGCTTCTGAATAGTTCACAGAACTTCAAACCAAGATCCCAAATGTTGAATCAAGCAGAACCCAGAGGCAGTGTGCGACCCGTTGACCAACTTTTCCGTCCTAACTCAGGCGGACTCGCACTACGCGCCCGGCGTTCAGACGACCCGCGTCTCTGGCGAGGTGGTTCGGTGGCACAAGGTGAACGGCTCGGAGGCGGTCGCGGCGGGGGAGTACATCGAGATGCTGGAGGGCGAGGTGCGCGGGCTGCGCGCGCAACTAGAGCGGAGCCAGCGGAGCGCCGCGGGCGGGAATCAGCTGCTGGACTACCTTAAGGCGCTGCAGCCGCCGAACCTGCAGGTGAGGCTGAAGGGACGCCGGGGTGCGACGTCATCCCCCTCTTAGTGTTGTAGTGCGAATGGAGGGGGGATAAGTGAGTGGCTATGTGAGGTGATGTTGGGAGTGGTGAGTTGGCGTAGTGGTTGCTCAGGATCTGCAGGGATGATCCTACTCTAGGATTGGCCTCATCGAATCTGATGCTTGGTTGTTTGCACGCTGACGGATGCACACTTCTGAAGTGAGATGTTGCAGCGTGTGGTCGTATTGGCGTTATTGCTCGCAGGACCTTTTTAGAAAGGAATTGCCTGGGTCTAATGTTGAGAGCGTCCTTACGACGCGAAAACCTGACGTTCGAATTGAGCCTGAGGTCGGAGCTACAGTATGTTAACAGGGAAATTACGTTGGAGATATCTCCCGATAGGGATCCGCAGAGGGTCGAATGCTTCCTGCGTTACATGCTGAGCAACTCCATGCTTCTGGTCTTGACTGATCTGCAAACATTTTGCATACACTTTTCTTTCCTTCCTGCAGGAATTGACGAGTAGTGCAGGGGAGGACGCACTAGAAGCAATGAACTCCTTCATCCAGAGGCTGATGGGTATATCAGACTCTGCGGAACTGAAGGTAAGCTATTTTTCTTAGGATAATTTGTGATTCGCTGCCCATCTACGCACTAATGACTAACTTCGAAGGAGCTGACTCGCTTCTCGTCCGTCAGGCCAGGTTCGGTGCTTCGGTTCTAGGTGCTTGGGTTAAGTTTTCGCTCTCGAAAAAAATCACTCAAATTGGCTGAGCGAAGCCTCTCCGCAATACGTAAGTTACTCAGCACCTAAGCCAGCTCTTGCTAATGTGCCTGCCTCTGCCACAACGAGATAAGAACTTTCGGCTCCGGAAACCCAATTGCAGCTAGTCTCGCAGGGGTGTTTACGGAAGAGGGTCTGCTGTTGTCGTTCTTTTGATTGGAAAAGGATTGATGCTTGGAATGCTTGTGATTGCTTCAACACTCACAGGCAGGATAATATATACAGCTGAATTATTGATCATAGCGACCTCCACATTCTTCCTCGGACGAAAACCAATCTCGGGAGCAAAAGGGGGATCACACGCAACTTTAGCCAACCGCTCCTCCGATCATTGCAGGCTTCCTCCTCGGTAACAACGGCCACAGAGCTAGCTAAATTGCTTTATTGGTTGATGGTAGTTGGTTACAGTATCCGCAGCATAGAGGTCCGGTTCGACATGGAAAGAACGCTAGGAGTCCCAATAACTTCGAAACTCGGTGAACTGCCACCAGGGGAAATATTTTGAAAGCCCATTGCACAAAAAATTGCATGCCTTTGCACTATCTGGCAAGCCTCGCAAGTTCTCGTGGCTTCTGGTCCAAGCGGCTTCCGTACCCTAAAAGCTTGAAATAAGTGCAAGGAGCCCATTCGATATTGAAAGCTCAATACGTGTCCTTTCGTGGCATCAGTATATGCTTCTTATTATCACTTATGTGGATCAGCGAATGGTCGTCTTTGAAGCGAGTTTATACAGTCTCAGTGTGGCAAGAAGCAAACTTGAAAGAGAAGCCTGAGCTTCCCCGAACCGATTGAACGCCAGCGTAACGTGGTAGATACTGGACACAAATCTAAAGAATAGTTTGTACTGCGATGGGTTGGATGGTACCATGGCCTACCGTACTTGACGCGGTACACATATCCCCGGGGGATTTAACTCCCGGGGACCGTCATGCATTCACAAACACTTAATCCTGAGCTACCGCGTCACTCGGTACGTAACGGACCCATATCGGCCCAACCCTTATTTGCGGTTCGCCGACAACTTGCCCCCAGGCCACCGGCACCCTAACCAATCATGGCTACCGGCCGTCTGCGCGTCAGTACTAGCCGGTAATTGTTGCTCATTTAGCGTCGGATGCAGTCGGATGCGGTACAACCCTTTAAACTCACGGCACTAGAGGATTTGTCCGTAACATGCCTCATGGATACAGTGGCGCAATTCTTCGAGGATCCGCCCCAGAGCAACCAAGTTCAGATATACTAATCAGAACCACCGGTGCGCATTGCATATGCTGCTGCATAAAAGTATGAACGTGCGCAAGATGACGCGGTCTGCGCCGCCAGATCATACTACTGAATTGTTTAAGACAGCCTGTTCATGCGCATGCTCCTTCATCTTGGATGTGTAACTTAAGTGGAGGAGAATCGCAAATCTGAATCCCAAAAAGAATGGTTCATCCTCTGATTGCGCAACATGTGGACCTTCATATCCGCGAAGTTTGACGTGCCATTGAACCTGAGTACAGCTAGGGTCGTTTTGCTTTGGATGCGATCATTTGGCAACGTCCGACCAGGCAATCTACAGTAGGTAAACCGCATGATTCACTGTGGGTTTAGGAAAGAGGACGTTCGAAACCTGTCTTGACCCTTTACTACACCGATTTGACTACAAAGTTCCGCATTGCCTGTAAGGAAGCTATTGGTCGTAAAGCATTAGGACTTGTCTAAGAAGCTTGCACCTGAGGGCACTGGCCTTACTCTACATTCTACACCCCTTTCCTTCTTGCCCTGGCCGGAGTCTCCCTGTTGTAATCTTTTTCGATCCGATTGAGACGACCTTCAACATCGTCCAGCTTGCCGCTCAAGCGATGGACCTGCTGATCTATGTCGTAACACTCGCCGTCTCGCAGGTCGTCCCAGCTGCAGACCACTGCCCGTTGCTGCGCACGGGCTTGCATGAACGCCAACCCATCCCCTGCATCAACCGTGGAAGCGAAGGCCGCATGCCTCGCTTTCAGAATAGTCATCTGCTCCTTCACGGACTCAATCTCTTCCTTGTGTCGCCGCCTCTCCGACTCCAACTCCTCATCCCGCGTGCGCAGTCTCCCTTCCAACTCCTCGTGCCGTCTGAGAAGCTCTTCGGTAGTCACCATTTTGACGCTAATGGAAGTGACCGTACTCGTGGCAACTGCCAAGGGCGTCGGAATCGCCGCTTGAACAGAGACGGTGGGTGGGGGCGGAGGATGGGTTTGAGGTGCTTTGCGCAACCTGCCGAGCGGAACAGGCCAGGTGGGCTCGGCTGCAGCTACCAACTTGCGGATCACTCCCTCGCCAGTCAGATCATTCTCATCGCGGATCGTCTGCAAGTCGTCTTGGTCCTTCATCCACTTCGTCATCCTGCCGAAATCGCGTGATGCGACCTCCCGAACCCCGTCCTCGCGGGTTTGGGACAGCTCCCCCTTCCTCAGGAAGACCAGGGAGCGCGCCACCCCATCCGCAATCGCTTCTCCGTCCGTTCCGCCGGCCCTCGCAATCCGTTCCGCCCTCCGCCCTTCGAAAAAGTCGGCCACGAACCCCGCTGCCGCGCCCGCCACCTTCGACGCCACGTGCCCGTACCCCGGCACAAGTCCCGCAACCGCCGATGCCGTGAGGACCAGGGCTCGGTTGACCTTGTCCCGCTGCCGTACGACCAGGTTGCTGCACGACGCCTGGGCGCCGAGGAACGCCCAGCTGAGCGCCCGCCGCAGGCTCCCGTAGTAACGGAGCGCACCGGGGTCCTTCGCAATGGTCGCCATTTCCTCCTCCAAGCCCTTCACATCCCCCTCGCGATCCAGCAGCCGGCCCAAGTACTCGCTCTGGATGGGCGTCAGCTCCAGCGCGCCTCCCCGCCCAAGCCCCGCTTCCAGCTGGTGGATCCGCGCCGCAATGTTCTCAATCGGCATTTCGAGGTCCACCGCGTGGTTTCCTCCAAGCACCTCCGTTGTCCCCTGCTGAAGTTCCGTCTCGGCCCGCGATTGCGGAGGCCCAGGCGCATCGCTTGGCTCGAAGGCGCTGCCGGCTGAGTCGCTTGGCGGGGCAAGAGAGGCAGGCTCGAAGTTTTTTATGAAAGGCGTTTGGCTGTCGCTCATATTGTCCGGAGCCCGATCAGCCTCCCCTTCCGTTACCTCCGTTGGGCCTTCAATTTCAACTTCAATGCCCTGCTCGGTGCTCCCCTCCCCGGTTCCTGCTTCGACTCTCGTGTCTGGCAGGGGAACCCCGGGCTCGAGGATTGCAACGGCTGATTCGCCTGATGGCGACTGTTGGCTAGACTCCGATGTCTCATCAGGAGTCGGTTTGAAATCAAGTTGATAGCCCTCACTATCAAAATACCTAAAGTGACGGTTCCACTCTGGATCTGCGCGCTCTATAGTATCCCGCGCCCTCCCAGCCTGCTTCTGGACCTCCTCGCTTGGGCTTGCCAAAAGCCTCGTCAGTGCGGCCAGCGTCCCCGCCTCCGCCAAGATCCTCGCCCTGATACCGGCGTCCTTTCCCAGGGACCCGAGAGCCCTTGCGGCTTGACTCTGCACGGCCTCGCTCCGGCTTCCCAGCAGCTCCATGAGCGACCCCAGCACCCCTGGTACTGCTGCAACACTACTCGATTCTTTGCTGGCCAGGTTCGCCAGAGTCCCCGCAGCGCGGCTCTGCACCGCCTCGCTGGGGCTACCCAGCAGCTTCCCTAGCGCGGCCATCGCCCCCGGCACCGTCGCGACGGTCCTGTTGTCGTCAACCCCTGCCAGATTCCTCAGGGCAAACGCGGCCCTTTTCTGCAACAACTCCGGGCTCGGGCTCACCAGCAGGTGTCCCAGCCTGGACAAGATCCGGGGTTCCGCCAAAAGCGTCCTTCTGATGTCGGCTCTTGCTGCCAGGCTTGCAAGAGCTGTCGCGGCATGCTCCCCCCCATTAGACCCGTTCACTGTTCAAGAGTAGAATACTCCAGGATCAGACACGCACTCTGATTCTAGTCCAGCCAGACGTTGGTTGCAAATAGGTGGCTCACGGAGCGGAACATTGGAGATGAAGCACTTAAGCGAACGTTGCTACATTTTGGTGACACTGTTTCCTGCATGTCTTTAAAGCAGATCAGGAAAGCAAGAGCTTGCTTGACGGGCCAGAAGGGTCGCGCCCCACACCTGGTCAGTAGTTTAGAACGGTCTTAGGGGAATTACGCTGCGAGAGTAGTACAATACATTCAGAATGTTATGTCTTCGATGTCAACTTCAAAATCTCCGAGGTCAGAAAATGACTGAAGTGCCTGAGTGCTCAAACAATTTATGGAGGGCCGATTCTTATCTTCGTCCATCGCCACTCAACAGCAAGGGTCTTGCTTGTGAACACAGCACTTGGCTTTAGCGTGGGATTAAGGCTGCTAGTGATGACTGCATTCACTCAGAAGAAGAAATAGCACCTTAATCCACAGTGTCTTACACAGTGTGCACCTACAGTGTCTTACACAGTGTCTGCAGCTGTTTGGAGGCATGTGGAGGGATGTCAAAGACTCCTTTCTCAAAGGGGGTGAAAAGAAATGTGTGAGCACTTATATCGGTGTTGCCTGCTCCTGATGCTTTGCAGACTCTGTGGAAGAAGCTGCCAGTTTGTTGTCCATTACTATATGTTGCTACACAAGAAGAATGGCCTCTTTGTAAGAGTTGGAACTTACACCAGTGGTACTGCAGAGACTCCACCAGTGCTGCCAGCAACCCGGGTGTCGCCGCAATGCTCTTCTTGTTGTCATCATCCGCCGCCACATTCTCCAAAGCCCGTGCCCCCTGCTCCGGCACGCGCTGTTGGACGCTGCGCAGCAAGTTGCGGAGCGCAGCCAGGGCCCCCGGCACTGCCACAATGCTCCTTTTGTTCTCAGCATTCACTGCCAGGTTTGCAAGAGCCCCCGCAGCATTTCTCTTCACAATTCCGTATGGGTGACCCAATAGCTCCACCAACCCGGCCAGTACCCCCGGAAATGTCGCGATACTCCTCTGATTGTCAGGGTCCCCAGCTAGATGTTCAAGAGTTTTTGCAGCATGCTCCTGCAGATGTCTGTGGCTCCCCAGCAGCTGTCGCAAATCGACCAGCACCCCTGGCAACGCCGCAATGCTCTTCCTGTTGTCGGCCGTTCCTGCCAATCTTGCGAGAGCACGCACTGCCTCTTCCTGCACGGCCTCGCTCGGGCTTCTCAGCAGCTTACCCAATGCGGCTAGCGCCCCCGGCTCCATCCCGATGCTTCTCTGGTGTTCCACGTCCCATGCCAGCAGTTTGAAAATCTCTGCTGACCGTTGCTGCATGCCCCTATTCAAGCTTCCCAGTTGCACCACGAGCCCGGCCAGCACCCCCGGCACAATCGCAATACCCCTCAAATTTCTGAAGTACTTTGCTAATCTTACCAGAGCCTCCGCTGCCTGCTTCTGCAAGTCCTCACTTGGGCTGCGCAGCAGCTTTGCCAGCGCCCCAGGCTCCGAAGCAATGCTTTTCATGTTCTTGGCGTCCGCTGCTAGAGTTGCCAAAGCCTGCGTGGCCTCCTCTTCCCCGCCCTCAGTTGGGCTCCCCAGCAGCTTCACGAGCGCCGCGAATACCCTTGGCCCCATTGCAGCAATCCTCGTCACTTTTTTGTGGTCTGCTGCCAGATCTGAAAGAGCCTTTGCAGCCTGCTTTCGCACGGCCTTGCTAGGGCTTTCAAGCAGCTGTGCCAACGAAGTCAGCGCCCTCGGCACCTCATAGACTTCCCCGTCAATCTGAGCCAGGTTTTGCAGAGCCGCTGCGGCTGCCTCTTGCAACTGTGTATCAGCAGAATCCAGCAGATTTGCCAGTGCTGACAAAGTTCCCTGCATTGTCGCGATGCTTGTCTCATTGTCAGCATCCATTGCCAACCACGCCAGAGCCCACGTTGCAGATGCTCGCACAGCATCATTCCGGCTTTGCAGCAGCTTTGCCACCGTGGCCAGCGCCCCCGGCACACCCCCAATACTCTTTGCAACCTCAGCATTATTTGCCAAACTCCCGAGAGCCCGCAATGCATGCTCCTGCACGGCCTCGCTTGGGCTTCCCAGTACATCCGCCAGCGTGACCACCAGCTCCCGGCACATTAAGGACAGACGATTTGCTGATGTTGTCACTCTTTGCTGCCAGTTTTGCCAGAGCGACAGCCGCTTGCTCCTGCACGGCCTCCTTCTGGCTCCCTAGCTGCTTGGTCAGCAAGGCCAGCCTCTTCTGGGATAGCTTACTAGAGCTTCCCCCCATCACGCATCGTCTCGATTGGTCTCAACAGGCATGCGGAGAGTATGATCAATCAAAGCAGAAGGAACACAGCATCACGGGGCAGCTTGAGCCTTGACCACAATGACTTTGATGTCAGTCTCAAGTTTGGTCCCCTGACTCTGGAGTCTGGGCCTGAGCCAGGCTGAGGCTGGAGTCGGCCAATTTTGAGGGTTCCCTGCATGTGAGGGGATCATCCACGACCAGGTCTGCCTGGTACGTACCGGTCTGTACGATTCAGCGCCCCTCGAGGGGCAGAAGGGGCATATACCGGTAGTGCAGGGGCCGTGCAGACGGTGTGTACCGGCTCTTGACTCCCGGAAAACCCAACTGATGTTCATGATCGATCGGAGGAATCAGGATATGTGAGCTGGCACGCTTGTTCGCTTTCCGGTTGCCTCGCAAACATGCTTGAAGTTCGTACCCTATTACAACCTCTAGCAGGTTGATTGCATGGCAGAACTTATTACAGCCGGTATGTACGTACGTAGCTTGAACTACGCATGTGCGCATGCAATGATTCTTGAGTTATAACATCTTCGCAGCTTGATCGGTCCTATTTGAGTGCAAGAATCTGCATCAGTGCAGCATTTGCAACAATGCCAGCCAGGTGCAGCACACTCGAGCCATAAGCGATCGTCCAAATATGTGCTGCGATGTGGCGAGCAATCAGCTAGAAAGTCAAGAAATACCTAGTCGGGGCTGCTAAAGCTAGCTACCGGAATAAGCTGGTTGCTCATGCAGCACGCCTGAGCGCATTTGCGGTTGTATTGCACGTTCCTTCTTGCAAGCTCATGCACAAAAGATATAACAAGAAGCGAAGCGATCATCCGAACTTCTGAACTTCTCCCGCCAAATATGACGTGCTCACACGACTCCATTCGTTTCGTTTTCTGTAATCCAAAGGACATTGGCCGCAGGGCAGCGAGTCCGGGCCTTGTCATGACGGTCCGCTTTGTCTGTGAGATTGTCGGAGGGGGAACCTCTGCCGCCTTTCTTTGCCCTCAACCGGACACTTCATGTTCCATAAAAGGGAAATGGGTTTGATTGCCTTGCAACGAGCTTGGGTGTGGCCCCAGAATCTGGTGGTGGAAGCCACCGCTAAACGACGCCGGACTCTAGTTGCTTGAAGACGAAAATCTCCTTGACTGCCTCTAAGATGGCCTTGTTGACTTTGTTCGAGTCCGTGGCAGTTGTGGGGACCGCGAAAAACCGCTTGGCGAATTGGCCTGGCGGGTTGTAATTCTCAAAGAGTTGTTGGAACTTTGCTGTGACATACCTGCGCCCAAGCGACACCTGAATCTAAACATCGGCAAGAAGCCAACTTGCAAGCCGCCGAAATATGATTCGGAACGCCCACCAATGCGTTCAACTTAAGCAATCCAATGGAAATATATGTGGAGTCGTATGATGGGGGCTCGGTACACGGGAATGCTCGAGAGAAACTCTACCAAGGTGCAGTTTGCAGAGCATCAGGTCCAAACATTGCTTGTACACTTCGCCCTTAACTTTCTGCTTTAGTAGATGAGCTTGATGATGACCTACCTGAAGGCAACATCGGGGTCGGGAGAGCCGGTGTAGTCTGAGAACCAGGGGCACTGCGTAAGGGAGACCTAGAACAAGCACGAACCAGAAAGCCGTTTGTTAGACTTCTTCCCATTGCAGCTGACAATCTCGTAGGACTGGAGACAGAAACGTGAGCGATCCCGAGACTCGTCAGAGCAGGTAGGCTGTGCCATCATATAATCGACTCATGCGGACGGAAAGCTGATTGGAATCTTCCAATCAACCCCGCGAGGCAGCAGTTATAGGACAAAATCCGGCACCACCGGTCATTTGAAGATACGTCATGCATGCGAGAAGTCCGCAACCTTGTCAACACTTCAAGTGGCGTGAGTTAAGACTCAAATTGGCACTTACTCTCCGGACTTTCTTCTCGAAGAGGTCGTACTTGTTGAGAAAGAGCAAAAAGGAGACGTTCTGCACGTAAACACACCGGGGCACGTTAGCCCCCGTCAGAGGAAGCTTTCGCCCCTTGGAAGTTTTTGTTGTGGTGTTTGCCCAGTGAAAGATGTCGCGAAATAAGCTCTGGAGTGCTTGCTTTTGTGGTTGATGTCGAAACCAAACGCTTTCGAAAGCATAGTCAGGAAACGAGAAGTATGAACCACAGACCATATGAACCCAAGCCAAGAACCAGAAACCGAAAACCAAAACATTGAAAGTCGTCGGATGAGGTCTCTATCCCCTGAACCACACAACTTGGAGTGCCAGGACTTCGATGCAACCAGAACCAGGATCACAAACTCTGATAATCATGACGAAGGCAGGATTCTGACTAGCCAGAGGCAGCTTACCTTGAAGGCCGGGTGTTGCAGCATCTCCTCCAGCAAATTCTTGGCCTCCACCATCCGGTTCTCCGTCTCGTCCTCAAAGAGCGTCTGATCATACCTGCACCAGAGACATAAAACCTTCCATCAATCTTCTTATTGGACCGCCACATGTCAGCCGCCAAGTCGAGCCCATTTGCTGACACCAGCTGGTGACATGTAGGTCAAGGGCGCATCGGAATTTGCGTGCAATACGCTCAGAAATCCAGTTTTGCCACCTATGGGCTGTAAGTCCTTTTTGAGGCCCCCGAAACTCATTCTAGGCCTTGACTCGACTGCGGGATCGTGCACAGAGAAGAGCCGTCTGGTGTCGGGACTGGTCGCTTGTCAACTACAGTATTGGGCTTTCAATCCTGTACGTTCACGTTTCAGCGGAGCACTCACTCGCTGAGTGCGATGCAGAAGATGACGGCTGTCACGTTGTCGAAAAGGTGGATCCACTTTTTCCGCTCGTTCCGCTGGCCTCCAACGTCAAATATCCGGTACGTGCCCGATACAACGCCGCTCTCCTTTGGAGGGCTGCGGCACACAGGGCGGAACGGGAACGGAATCATGATGAGCTGGTCACACGCCGGCTTGTTCGTTAGGAACTCGAGAAGCTTCATATGATAGCCTACGGCCAGTCGGCTCCGCTTACAATGCAATTAACCTCCTCCTCTCTGAACATGCGAAAGGTTGCAAAAGATACGACTCTGACTAAAAAACGAATCTTTTCAGCACGGATGCCGATTGATGGCAGCGCAGTTGATCTAGCGTTGCCCCGTAGTGCCCCACCTGAACTCTGTCTCAGCAATACCCGTTGTCCGTACTCGGGCGAACAGGATGTCCTCCTGAAAACGCGAGGCACGACGTGTCAGTAACGAAGAAAAAACCTGGTGACGGATGCAACCAAGAGTATGCATCATCAATGACAATCCATGGGAAGATGTAATAAGCGAAAGGGAATCAGAGTTCGGCTTTGAAGTGCAAAGCCTTCATTTCAGGGCCTTGACCGTGAACGGGACATAAGTCGACACTCACCTGTGTGGGAAGGTAGTCGGGCCTGCCGAGCCGCATGACGTCATTCAGGAAGTAAGCCGCGCAGTCGGGCAGCTGGAGCTCGTTGGCTCGGTCGAACACCGCCTGGGAAAGTCGAATCAGGATGAGGGATGATTCGACAAGATAAGAAAATAAATGGTAGTAGTAGCACGCTTTCGACGTAAAGCTTAGACTGGATGGCCGCTGTAAACTTGTCGGCCCCAGTCGCAAGCACCCTGGAAGATACACTCAAAGTGGGGGAAGACAGGGGTAAGTATACCAGATGCTACGCACTCTACGGAGGATCGTCCATGCTATTTAGGCAGGTGCTTGGAGTCACGCTTGCAGGTAACGTGGGCGGAGATGGGACCGCTGAAAGCTGGTCGGCCGAATTGAGGAGAGGATGCGCAGCAGAGATGTTACAGTCACGATACGGCGCCTTTGTAAAAGGAGGACGAAACAAGAAGACAAGGGCAACAAGGATCCAAGAAAAGCTTGCATAAGAGTACTCAAGCCAGTTCCGGACAGAACTCGGATGGAAGCATACGCAGAAGACACCGTGGTCGGAACACAGACTCAAAACAGGGCGTCCGTTAAACACTTTGCGGTGTTTTCAATTGAACAACACCGCACGATGGTCCGCCGGGAGACCGTACCACGTTCTCGTCAAACAGCGACCAAAGGCGTGGAAAGCCTGCTATGAATCGGCACCAAGACACCGAAACCTTGACTTACTCGACAATAAGAAGAGAATTCCCAGAGCAGCTGTCGAACAAGAGAATCGTATTAGCCGGAACACAAGGAGCGAACCCACCTGGACTGCGGGGTCCATCCAAACCTGGCTGATCTCCGCCGCCAGAATCTCATCCAACACGGGCATGTCTCCGGGCGGTTGGAGAGCAATGTCCTCAACCTTCTCTGCCAACATCTGCAGAAACAGCACTCTGTTCATGAAACATCATTCGACTCTACCTTTCTACGGGCAGTTTACATGGTACTTTCTTCTGGGGGCTTCATAGATGCCTATTCGAGAGGGCTCCCAAATTCTTTCAAAGACTTAAGCAGACTGATGCTGGGGCACCCACTGCGCCTTTCGGTTGCACACACTAGTATGCAAGGACGACTGTCTCGACCAGAAAAGCATAAGCACGAACAACCTTTGAGTGATATCGAAGTGCGCTAGTTCAAGCGCGTAGCGCACAGAAAGACCGCTGGGGATGGGTAGAAAAGTCGAGGAACATCATACGGGCTTGCAGAACAAGAGAAGTTTCAACCGTTGCCTCTGTCCGGACATTGATAAGAATCAAGCACAACCGCAAGGTTGCAGCACCTTCGTACGTTTCATTTTGAAAACGCCCTCCTCTCAGGGTGACAACGAGCGCAAATATGTTCAAACGGGCCTGATTCCAGACAGCACGAACCTGGTTCTCCTCCTTCAAAGTATACGTCGTTCCAGCTCCCGAGCTTTCTTGAAAGGCGTCCAGGCCCTCGAGCAGGATCTGCGCAGCAAGAAGGACTGCTTGATGAGCTCCGTGAACTCTCAACAGAACATCTCTCGATCAATCGAATGCAAGGACGACATTACTCTAACGAGGTCTGGTCCTACGGAAGCCCTCAGCTGTCTTCAACGATTAACTACTCAGCAAGGATCTCCTTTTTCCGGGGTACTGGATCCGCTCGTAGCTGTGCCAGCGGCCCCCATTCCCTCCGTTCCTAGATTCAACCGTTCTTTTGAACAAAGGAGGTGGTGGAAGATAGCGAGGAATCTGTGTCCGTGTGGTCAGGTACCATCAAGAAGGTTTGCTTCCGGAGTCTTCGACCACTGCCCTTGTTAAACGGCACATCATCTGCTTTACAATCATCGATGCTTTGTTGCAGGTCACAGATGATCGTCCATCCAATCACATTCAAAGCTTAAGCCCAAGCAGAGCAGCTTGTAAGTTTTCAACCCCCTGATGCGCGATAAGGGTTAAGGATTCGTTCAGTGTCTCCGGAACCTCTGATATCTTTCCAAGGAGGTTTTCAGACCGCCAAGAAGCAAACGCTGCAGTCCTTGGGAAGATGGTGGGGACTCACTCTGATGGACTGATAGACATTTGAGTGCACGATCCTGCGGAACTCCGCCCTCTCTGCGTCAGTGAACCCTGACTGATATAGCACTTTGACCTGTAAACGTTCCAAGGAGGGGAAGTCAGGCGAGCTGCAGGAATCCCCTTCAATTTGCTTCAATCTTCTACCTTCTACTCCCTTCCATCTTCTCTGCTTCAAAGTCCTTGCGAATCATGATATGTTGTTGCAAATTTGCAGATGCGGGGAGGGCATACCGATCAAATGATTGTAATATATTGATATCCGAACAGATTCGGGTGACCTTGAAAGAAGCTCTTCGATAGACACGAACTTTCAGTCGTAAGAGCGAATGCCTGGAAATTGAGTAACATCGTCGAACATGGGGCCTGAGATAGCCCCGAACTTTACACCATCAGATGGTATATGCAGACCACTCAATTGCACCCTTTGTATGCGCTTCAGCTCGGTAAACCCCATGCGAACCTAGCGGGATGCTTCACTTACCTGTTTGAATATCGTACTCTTGCCAGACTCGCCGGCACCTGTTAAGATGAGAAACAGTCCAATTCAAGCTTTGATTCAGCAATCCTTCAAGGGTAGTCTGCATAGATGCATTCCACTCCCAAATAGTTACTCAGGTGTGCGGAATTCCAGCCCGTTTGTGAACCAGGTTCAGCATCTGATCACAAGCATCAGGGGTTGATGCAGTCAAACGCCTGTTCCTCACAAAACGTGTCCGCATTTGTGACTGCTTCGGCAACTTATCAACACCAGGATGGCCAAAAATGGGGAAACATTCTGCAACACCAGAGTTGGCACCTTGCACGTTTTCCACAATGGCACCTTGGAGCAAGATGCCAGTTGAAACCGCAATGTTAAGCTTCAGGGGAACTCACCCAGTAGGAGCAGTTTTTGGATCTTCTCTTCCTCCTTATCCTGCCGCTTGATGTCCTTCTCGATGTCCTGATTCTGTAGTTTTGAGAAGGAGAAGAGGTCAACTCCTCTGCTTTCTTTCAAGAATAGCAGCCAGGCTTGAACTCTAGCTTTGATCAGCAGCCGCTCAGGTCCACAAACAGCAACATGGGAACACGGCCCTCGCTTGAGAACATTAGATGAAAGCGCTAACCGAATCCCCAAGCAATGGTACACATGGAAGGACTATATGTCAGCAATGCCAATGCAGTATCCCCTTGACAGATCCACTGGATTGCAGAGAGCGGTGATCAAAGCGCTCCCTTAATGCTGAGCGGGCGGGCACCATAATCAAGGCATCCCCTTTGTCAACCACCGCCTCCCATATGATACAAATCAAGCCATACTTTCACTCCCCTAACGAGGTCCTTTCCTGATAAGCGACGTCCTTCCCTCAACCATGCTCCACTATAGCGGGGCAAGCAACAAACAGCGTAGAACAATTGCGCCTCCCTGGTATTTACAGGGATCCCCAGAAACTGTGGGACCAACGATCAACCAACCTCCTTCTGCTCCCCAATCAGGCAGGTCCCAATACTTATCTCAAAGCTAAGCTAATGCACTTTGAAACAGGCAAAACAGTTACCTTGCCCGCTGAGCGCATTCTTCCGGGTCTGCTTGTCCAAACTTCAAGGAATGCGCCACATCTCACCTGAGACCTTTCGGCTGCCCTCTCTGCGGCCTCTGCAGCGTCTGCAGGATCCTCGGGCTCCTTGCTCTCAGCGCACCCCATAGCGCCCCAATGCTGCGTTTAGACAAGCGGATTCCTTGGCCAGCTCTGCATTCAACACCTCATTTGCAGTGAGGCACTGCAAGAATGCTTTTGCTTTGAAAATGTGTTTGTTTGAAGCAATTTTGCCTCATGTGTGATCAATAGTTCAATCTGTTGGAGAATCACTTTGCAGCAATGAAATTATCGGCCAAGATCACAATTTCTTGTGGCGCTCTAATACAAAGCGCCTGTGCGCTGGAGGTGTATACAGATGCTACCACCTGAATGAACAACGTTCTGACTCAACTCACACAAAACCTCTGATCATGATACACTGAGAGGTTAAGCCACCCAAGCGGCGCTGCACACTTTTGCTAATCTGAAGCATAAGGCAGACCAGACCGTCCAGGACAAATCAGGGAGTTACCAGCTCCAGGATCTTTGCTCTGCAATGCGTGATCACTGCCGCTGACATTCTGCCCACGTTGGATTGCCACTCACATTGAGATAACCTTTCGTGTTCAAAGGTCAATAGCTATCCTAGACATAGCCAGCGCTTGTCGGACGGAGTAACACGTGCAAGAATTAAAGGGAGGCTCACCAGCTGAAATGCCGCCCGGACTTGGATTGGAAACAGACGGAACCAGTGAAAGCTCAGCCTAAATTTTGGCAATTCCGCGCCCTGGCCCTGGACCTTGTCCTTTGCCTTCCTGCTTTCTGAATGCTAGGAAAAACTTCCTCAAGCAGCCTGAGGGACGAGAGACAGGCTCCAATGTGAAACTGCCTAGACTCACAAGTTTGATGCATCTTCGAGCCGTCCGATTACATTCAAGGTATATGAGGCGTTCGATGTGCCCGATTGGGGTCCGATCGAACGGCACAGCGCTGCCAGAGCTCACGACGGATTTGAAGTGTGGCCGTCGATGCAATGACCGCAGGGCCCAGAAGTGAATATCTGCATTGGCAACTTGCAAGGCTCTGAGTCTTCCGAAGTTTTCCACTCAAACTTCAAGTTCAAGTTCAACTTCAACTTCAAGTTCCATTTTGTCCACTTTCCCAAGGTCACTGCTCTTCTCCTGCTCTTCAAATTGTCTCAGAGCATCCTCCTTTTGAATCTGTTGATCAGTGTTACAGCGCTCCATTGTGCCCAACATTCCAACATCTACAGAATTTGCAGCGATGCAACATGGCGCGACCGGGTTGCAGAAGCTACTCGTTGCTTCTTTGCTCACCCTTTTCACCTGCTCTCAGGTAAGCCCCCCAGAATTGGTCTACATGGAATCATCGAATACATCTCTGTTGGCAGCTTTCAGCGTTTGAGTGTGTGAGGTTGTTGCAATCCGAAAATCTACCCTCTGTGACAACCACTGTCTTTTAGCTGGATCCTGTTCTGCCAGCATCTTTTCAGCTCAGGATCAGCTCGAGTAGCTGAAGCAAGGAGCCTTCTTGCTGCCATCTTCACCCATTTGCTGCCCAAAGGCCCTAGCTAGAAAGCAAGGATCAGGCAGCTTACCGCAGATTGCAAATCCTCCACGCACAGCTCAAGAGTTGAAAATCAAGCACTTTCTTGGCTTGTATGTGCCCTCTTTGCATCAATTGGATACAGGGTTCAGTCATGTGGCCCTCTTTACATGTGTATCACAGACCCACTTCAAAACTCAATGAATTGTTGACTGACTGGACTCTAATGATGGCAGCGGCAAGCTACCCATGCTCTTCGAGAATTGGTGCTGTTACAATTCCAAGCTGACATTGACAGTGAATCAGTCCCAGAAGTTTTGTACAACTGCCTCTGGATTGGCCTTGAGAAAGTAACCAGCAAGCAAGGGTTTCTCTCTCAAAGAAGCCCAGGCTGAGGCTGTCTGATCATCTCTCTTGATGTGACAAGCGGCCTCACAACCTGTCACAAATTCCCTCGTAGGGTCTCCTTATGGAGGGCTCCAAAGTAAACGGGCGATACCCATATCAAACGGCGGTGGTGCCCTTCCTGTCTGAGGTGCTGAAGCTGGGAATCTCAGCAGTTCTTCTCCAGTGGCAGCTGAGGAGGAATCCAAGGGGAACAAAGATAACGAGAGGCTGGGGCACCGCTATCCTGTTTCCCATCCCGTCTGTAATATATCTTATTCATAACAATGTACAGGTGGGCTACCCGTTTCTCTGTCAATCGAAAGAATGCGTTTTGGTGCGGTCTGCCGGCTGTGGAGACCTCTGCGTAGCTCGCCATTGAAAATATGCCAGAGATACGAGTGCATGCCAGAAGATTGCCAGAAACATTACACTGGTTTTTGCAGGTAAGATAAGTTGCGGCTTTTTGTGACAGCAATTCTTTTGAAACCATTTAGTGCGCAGTTCTGTCCCAAGAAACGGAATTTTCGCGAGGCTACTGGCTTTGTTGAGCACAACTTGCCATCGAGTCTAGCAGCTAGGCTACTTTTGATGTTCATTTTGATTCCACCAGGATTATCACTCGACCAAGTCTTTGTATGCTCCTTCCAGTAGGTCGAATGACTCTGACCACAGATCATAGATTTCTTCCAGTTACCCCAACCCTTGATGATTGCGACTTGCTGAAGTAGACCCTCAAGCTGGACCCGTATCAGCAAAGCAAAGACAACCACCAACCTATGCTTTCCTGGTTCCTCAACTTCCTCAATTAATTGCTGACCCACTGTTCCCTTGGAGTGACAACTTCGACTTTGTTGCTGACTTACCATCCCCTGTGACAGAGTGATTCCGTGCGGTTCATAGAAGGAGATTGACGCACGCGACAAGCGACCTCCCGTCACGGGTCCTTGAACTACTTGAGCTCGGATCCCAGGCGGAAACGAATGGCGTTCCTGACTGGATACTTTGACGCTGTTTCAAACGACGTCTTACGTGGACGCTGCAAACTACCTGATCCTTGGTAATCTGAACAAAACCTCATTTTCAACCCACTCTTATGCAGTTCTACACTATGTCGTATGTGGACGCGGCAACCTACCAGATCCTGGGTAACCTGAAGATCGTATCTACGGGCCTCTTGTCGTGGCTCTTCCTGCGGAAGCACCTAAGCATGGTCCAATGGCATGCATTGGTCCTGCTCATGTGCGGCGCAGCTACCAGCCAGATCCAGGGGTGCGGAGAAGGGTGCAACTCGAACGGGCTCGCAGCTCCTGTACAGGCACGCACCTCAAACTCTTCCCCGTATTGCTATCCATGGATTGCTAGAGGACTGTTCGTGTCTTATGGGAGCTGTCGAGAGATTGACATCTCGTCGCCTTGAATAAAAGCATCTAGAAGTTCCTCAGCATCGATCTCCTTCGAGGGCTTTACACAACACGAGAGACTCAAAAGAGGGGTTCGAGTTGGATGGAACAGATATGCACTCTCTTGAGAGGACCGACACCTGTTCTTCCATGACAGCTCCGAAAGTTCTGTATGTAGTGAAGCAAACCGAAACTTACACCGGGTTGTCGATATCTTCTGTAACGGAATCTTAACGGACTAAACCGTATGCAGCCAGTGCCGTTGACTAGTTGCACGGCGGCAAACCAGAAAGTGACTCTCCGTTTTGGAAAGAAGGACTGCGCTCAGAATACTCACTTACCGAGGCTTTAAGCAGATGCAGCATTTAAGTCCGGAAGTTTGCGACCCATCTCTGGCCTATGGGAGACATTCGGCAAGCTCGCTCGAGGGTCCTTTACAAATAAAGAGAGTCCATTATGCCAGAATGGACGTGTAATTCTGGCGTTCCGGCTACTCCAATCTCAAAGTGAGCAGGGCGAGGACTCCGACCCTCCTGTTGCTGCGGAGTCTTTCTCAGCGCCATCGTCTCGTCCTTTCGAGCCCATTCCAGGCGGCAGCCAGCACTGGAACCGGCATTTGCGCCAGTTTCATTGGGATTGGTCATGCTGCCAGAGACACTTCATTGGCAACGTCAGTCTCCGACAAGCGTGGGTCCCTCGCTGCAGCGACACAGGTCGACTTCTTTTAAGGCGCTCGAACGGGGCCATCCGGCCACTGTCATCGGCAACTCGTTTTTCAATCTCTCTCGCTAGTTCCCTATTTTGCGCCATCTCTTTCTGGTGTTACGGAGTTATTTAGCAGCTCCCTCGCAACGGAGAACAACACCGTCAGAGTGGGCTCTCGAAAGTCGACTGACGGCCAATCCGGTGAAACAAAGATGACTTACTTTTCAATTTCCTTCTTTCCTTACAGGGGTACATGTTGGGCATTCTGAGCGCCTGCCTGTCCGCTGTGGCTGGCGTATACACGGAGTTCATCATGAAGAAGAACGACGACAACTTATACTGGCAGAACATCCAGCTGTACACCTGGGGCTCCATATTTAACGCCGCAGCTCTGACGCTGCAAGACTTCAAGTCTGGGTTTCGAGAGGGGATCTGGATATTCTCCCTATTCAGGGGTTTTACCGCTGCTACCTATCTCCTCGTGTTGAACTTTGGGTGTGCGGGCCTCTTTATCTCGTGGATCATGAAGTTCGGGGATAACATAGTCAAAGTATACGCGACCTCTAGTGCAATGTTGTTGACGACTCTGATCAGCGCTTGGCTCTTTGAGCTGCAACCAACGCTGCAGCTTTTACTAGGTATAGTGGTGGCAGCAATTTCCTTACAGTTGTACTTCTTACCGCCAGAGAATGTTGGTCATAGTCCAAGCCAACGGGCCGGACTAACAAGTAGAAGTTCGTCGAAAAGCCTGGATATGAGACACCTTGAAAAGGCTGACAAGGAGCTAGCTTGAGTTGCACTGTACACGTACTGTCTTCTTTTAGTAGCAAGAGTCGGTTTACGAAAGCCTGCACCAGTGGTCTACTCGGTGCCCGCGCATCATAATCTTTGCCAGGCGCCAGGGCGCAGCGGCCTGGCTGTGCTGCACGGCCGCCAAGCTCCAATTACAATTCATGCACAGCTCGAAGTTGCTGCAGAGGCTCCAGTGATAAGTTGCAGATCGGACTTAAGAGCTATATTTTTTACATTTAGTTTAAGTTGCCGAGGGAATCTGTCTACCTGTGACGTAATTGTGCTAGCAACTTGAAGCGGTAAGATGATGAATCATCAGGGTCCCTGCATGACTGCAAGATGTACATGTTTCGTCTAGCCGCCAATGATGCACTCGGTACCTAATATGATCGGATCGTTCGAATTGGATGCTGAACTTATAACCGGACCCAACATGGCACGCTGACATGAATTCGTTGAATGGTGATGCACCGCGCAGCACCGCGCCATTGAATGTGATTCGGGCGGATACTTCGAAATTTTGACCGCGCAAAGCTTGAACCACATGCAAGCATGCCATGTGCGCATGCCAATATGCGTGGCCTCAACAAGCAGATCATATTATCACCTCTGATGATTATGACGGTAGTTGCGAGAAAGCATCTTATACTAAGGCATTTTTCTGGATATCGAGTGGGTCTAGCTGCCTACTTCGTCTGCTGCGTAGATAAATTTGGTCAGCTCAATGGCCTGGCTTAAAATCAATGGCGGCGCAACAATCAAGAATATTGCAAGCAGGCTGCTGCAGAGATCGCCGGGGGGTGGCGTCAGAGAGCATGAATGAGTCACTGCGATTGAGGAATATTGAGAACTGCCGCTTCAATGAAGAATTTCAGATCTTGAGGACCACAGATTGGGGTCGTTCTTGTCTCATAGCTTCGTAATGTAGACCAGCATATGACAACGGATCCTCAATGAATACGGCAAAGTGGAGCACTGAACTGAAAAGGAGACGTAACCTCCTCTTACCTTCAAACTATGTTACCTTGGCATGTTACCTTTAAATCTGCCGAACGCGAGCAAGTCACATATATGAAGCGGCGTGGAACTTTACTGGTCGTCGATCTATCCATCATTCAGGCTCCAGAGCAAAGCTATTCTTGACTACACTCTTCGCGTGGGTAGCTTTTCGCCTAATCCCCTTCCATGGGCTAGATTGTTGGGTCGTACTTCGTTGCAAGGCTCTGGAGATTACTCTCGAAGGTCCGCAGTAGCTCTGGAAGGAGTCTCGTGGTCACTGCAGCAATTTTACAACCGAGAAACGTTATTATCACCAGCGCGAAGCAGTACAAGGCCTGAAAACCAGGGCTATCAGCACGTCTACTCTGATTGACGTGGACGACATATCTCAGAAAGTTGACTAGCTGTGTTCCTGAATGCGGGCATCCCTTGCATCAAGGAGAAGCAAGAAGCTTTGATTCACATAAGTCTGAAACTGCCAAAGCTCTTGCTTTCCTGAGGCCTGAAGCTGGGGTCTCAGACCAGATGCGGAGCTCTCCATGCAGGTGCTTCATGTGCATGCACAAGCAGGATATTCTCACCTCACCCGTCTTTAGCAAAGTCGTTCGCGAGTGTAGATCGAAAAGTCAAAAGTACCTACTAGATGATGTCGAGAGTAGAGGACTTACACGTAACTCCAGGGCGGCACTTGAGCTGTAGCGTTTCTGAGGCTGTCTGCACCCGAAAGCATTGCCCAAATCAGTACCTTCGGATCAAGTTGTTCTGAAGGGAAACTTAACGACTGCTAGTTGATCAAGCCGATGCATGAAGCAGTACGATTGCCACTGCTTCTAGCACAGTTCTCCAAATGCAGGATCTGCTTTGACAAGGAACCAAGATAATTCACCTTGACTTCCTGAATGTCTTCTGCACTGTCGTTTGCGTATTGTCGGAAGTGGTCCTCTATCTGCTTAGCTGCTGCCTGCATTGTGGCTTTGTCCAACTGCGACGAGAATTGAGAAAGAGGAGACAGCGTTACGAGGAGAAAGTTATTAATACCAACCACGAGCAAGAAAAAGATTGTCAATTCTGGGTAAAGTGGAGACGAGATCAGCGATCAATTCAAGGTCAACACTTCTTCTGCAATGAACGTTCGGAAGCTGAAAAAATGAGGTGGCTGAGACGACTGAAAGCGAAGATGGCTTATTTGAGAACTTCTAGACAAGGCAGAAAAGATATGCTCCGAAGAGAGTTTAGCCATCGTAAAGGTAGAGTCCGTCCAATTCTAGACCAACGCTGCGGGCTTACTGACATCCTTTGACTGATCAGAAACCGACCGTTGTGGTCAAAGGATTGAGAAAATGCGTCTGATGAGGATTAATTGCTCCCTTTCTGCACTTCGGAAAAGCGTAGCCAGAATCGATTGCCTACGCATGGAAAACTGAGCATGATTTTGCAGCGTTGAGTAGCTTCTACGTTTGCTACAATAGTCAGATTCTGGAGCTTCAGCAACAGTGGCTCACCTTCGCCCTCTTTCGAAGCTTCATGGCCGAGTTTTCCAGGTCCTTGGTTGCCGCAGAGATGCCCTGATCCATTTCAGCCTTCATTCGTTTGAGGTTTTCCAAAACATAGTTCTTCAAGCCGCTGACTTCTGAAGCTTCGCCAAGCTGACAACCTGTATTGATCCCTGAGCCTTTGGCTGTTGCAGGAGGTTCCTTCTTGTTGCCTGACTTCGCAGCTCTTTGACCAGCAGCTTTTCGACGCGAAGACATTCTCGTTCCAGTCGCGGCTTGGAGTTGGAGTCCTCTGGAGAGTTGTTTTCTTTGAGTATGACCAGAGTTTATTGTTCCAGCAGACGAGAATCAGACTTTTTTGAGTGAGCGCAAGTAAGTCAAAAGCTTCATGCTAGAATAGGTCAACAGATGAGAATGAGGCATCGAGCGATGTCCAGGACTCACAACGACAACTAGAATTGACGATTCAATGCGACATTCTAGGAGAGATTCTGCTTGCAACGACTCAGGCTCTTCTGCTCTTCTGTCGGGCTTCTGTCCTATCACACCATATTTCGCAATGACTTCGCAAAGTTATTTAATATGTGTGGTTGGACTCCTGACTAAAGTGCAAGCCTGGCATTGCATCGCTGAGCAGTTCTTACGGGCTCGCGTACTAGATGTCAATGCCCGTGGCCGGCGCATGGCGATCGCGCACTTTGCCGCGGCCGGCAGGCCGGGTACGCGCCGGCGCCGCGTACCACAGGCTCGAACGGGGTTTGGCGGTTTGGAGAGCCCGGCCTGGCAAGTGCGGCCGCGGCCGGCCCTCCGGCCGACATGTGCGCGCGCAAGTTCAGTACCCTCAACGGTTTTGAACACCTCGTATACCTACCTAGATTCAGAATCTAGATGTGACATGTCATTGCATGAAGAAGGATTCTCTCTCGGACCAGTACTTAGCTAGTGGCAGCGGTGGAGAAGGGGAACTTGCTGGCTCCTGCTGGCTCTCAACTTGGTGGCTCTGTCACTTATAGTTCCTAAGCTGTTTGGAGCTAAGTCTAATTTTCCCTTTGCACTACAAGGCCCCCAGCCATCGTTCTTTATCCTACTAATGTGAGCACGTGAGGAGCTCGACTGATGACCGGAAGCTGCCCCTGAGAGCATCACGCATCGAAAAATCCTCTCTGACGAAATTTTTGCAGAGGATAGCTTTTGAGTGTACTTCGCAAAATGGCGCAGTGTGAGCTGCTTACATCAGCTCCAGCAAGCTCAAGCCTTCGGCTGCGCCAGCTGCAGAAGATTTGCGAGGCAGAAAAGTTGGAAGCCCTCATTCTCATTGCGGGTGAGCTTTTCACGTGCAGTATCGCATTTCATCTACAGGGAGACTCCCAAACAATCATTGTGGCGGCTTATGCCAACCACAATAACTTGTTTCCTTCAATCTGTAATATCTACAAATTTGTCTGTTGTTTTCAACTTCATGTAACAAGCAACTGTGCATTGCTTTGGAGATGGACTTAAAGCGAGGTCTGCACAAAAGTGTGCATAAAAAACTGAATCAGAACTCTCTGAGGAAAGTCTTGCATTACTATGATATGGTGACTTAATTGCAGAGCATCAATCAACTTTGTTAAAAGTGGTATGCATTGCACAAAGATTCTCTAGGGGAATAGTGGTACAGACATGCAATTATTGTAATCTAGCCCCATACGAGCAGTTATAGAAGTGGTGAAGTCCTTGTGGATACTGCCAACTATCACCCACACAGCCAAGACTGGATGTACATATGTGTGCCACCAAATATAGAAGATGCCCTTGCTCTAATGAAATAGCTGATTCTTACACTCTGTGAGGCTACTTCAAAGATGCTCATTGCATAGTAGCACCACCCAATTCGCTTATGGGGCAACAAGAGTTAGGCGCAGAGCACATTTTCGGTCCTCTCATAATTTATTGGCTCACCAGCAGAGGGGGCACAGAGCAGTGGTTTTCATGAAAGGTTTTGACGGTGGGCCAGACTAAGAGTACCTTAGTCCTGCTTGCATATTATTCCTTCTGCTAGAATTCCGGGCCCCAAGAAAGGCTCTATCAAAGGCACCTCACTGTTTCTACTTTCAGTGAATAGAGATTATCACTCTCTATCTCCATCCGTCCGTGTACTATGCACTCATAGCGATACCAAGATAGATGTTGTCTCCAGACAGTGCTTGCTATCCCATGCAGATGTTTAGTGTACATCTGAAATCCCTGCAATTCTCTCTTTATCCACCAGAACCTGTTTGCAACCACAACATGTCAATGACCCTTCCTCAGGCGCCTTTGCACAGTTGCACTTTTGTGAACCTTCCCTAGAACCCCCCTGTTTGCAGTGTTCCCCCCTTCCCCAACTCCTTGCTAAATCCCCTCTCAATCCTGGATGCATAAGTCTGCATCTTGAATGCACTATCGACACAGGCCCTGCGTTGCAAATCCCACTGTTCTCAGACCCTTTCTCAAGTGCTCTGCCCTTTCTGTGCTTAAACCCTCCCTCATCCCTTTGTGAACCCGCGCTGATCGTTCCAGGCGTTGATCGCACCCACAATGCAGTCTCCTTCCAGACTCTGCGCTTCTTCTTAAGTACCCTGCTCTGAAGCCCTCGCTAACTCGCTTGTTATTATGCCCTTAACCACCTCGAATCCCTCCTAAACAATTCATCGTACCGGCTCTCCACCCCAGGCGAGTGAAAACACACTATACACCGTCCTTCCAGACCCTGCGCTACTCCCAACTTATCCTACTCTTAAGCATTCGCTGGCTGGTCTCTTATGTAAAACATGTTTTAATCCTAGTCGAGCTAACCCTTTCCTAACGCTTTCCTAACCCTTCTTGTACCCTCTCTCCACCTCCCAGGCATCGACAGCAACCACAATGCGGCTTCCCTCCAGACCCTGCGCTACCTCTTCACCGCCGCAAGTGGGCGCGAGCTCGAGCGGGCGAGCCAATGGGACGCCCTGTTTGAGGACGCCGTCCTTGTGGTCCACAAAAATAGGTATGATAGCAACTTTTCTTCCGTGGTTGAACAACTTCGTTCATCTTTTGAGAAGGATCAAAAGATGAAAGAATCGAAAAGCAGGGCCCAAGCAAGAGTGCAAGAACGGTCAGAAGATGGGGAGATACGTGGAGCTAGGAGCCCCAACTGTGGAAGCTAGAAAGCAGAGTTGTTACGCCTTTTAGAATACACTGTTTCAGCGGTTTTGTTTCCGATGACAAAGCCACTAAGAACCGTAAAGCACATCTTCCTTTCTTTCCAAAGTTGCCTACAACGTGCAGCTCTTTCAAGCGACAGTCAAACACCTGTTGCTAATAAGTAAGTGGGAGTAAGGTCTGGAGGCACGAAACTCAAAGAAGCCTGGTCAGGCCATGTCGTAGACACCTTGCATCCGGACTCACGCCCTGCTAGGTACGTTGTGACCGAGCACGGTATTCGGCAGGACCGCCCGCGCTAAAATGCTGTAACCTTTTCTCAGGGCGTCGCTCTACCTCTCCCGCCAAGGCTACAAAGATCTCCTTCCAGCCTTGGGCCTCTGGCCGGGTCTTACTGTTCACTGTCCCACCGAAGAGGAGGAAAACGATACGGACCTATACGAAGAGCACAAGATGAGAACGTTCCGGGAGATGGTGGCGGGCCTCGAGAAAGGGGGGGTCGGTATGGCCCTGGTGAAGGGGGGGGCCGCGATGCAGGTCGAGGAGTGGCCGCTGATACAGTCGTATGCGCTGGACGGTGAGTAGGGTAACGGGTTGAGAGCACTGGAAAAATGGGTTACCCCGCAGCTGTTAGCCGCACTGGTCTGGCGAGAGTTGAAAAGACCACAGTCGAGTAGCTGCTTGATGTGCGATGTTCTGTATCTAGCCAGGCTTTGCAGGACGCAGGGACAAACCTGTTCTTGAAACGCAGTTTGTACAGCCATGAGCGTCGTGTGTTGCACCTCACTTACCATTTTCCGGACAGGTTTCGCTGACCCTAACGAGTAGTCTCGATTTTATGTTGAGTTACGGCTATGTCGAGTTGAATCATGCCCGGGGGACGGGTGGGGTTGGTTTGGGGGTTTAGGGTGGGTACGGGTGCGGAGCATGTTAATTTTGGGTTTAGGTTTTTAGTTTGTTTGAGCCCGGGGAGTTCATTTTATTCAACATACACCTAAGTCAACATACAATCCAGACTTATACCCTAATGACCGTGAATCATAACAGAGGGTCTAAGATCGACCACCGAAAAGCTGGCTTTGGAACCTGGGTGCCGGCTTTGGAGCAGACAGCTCTCTGCTAACGAAGCCCGACATCGTACTTTGACAACGGCCTCTAACACCAGAGCTTCACATCTCGAAAACAAAACTCCGTATCATCAATCTGGAGGACAACCAGGTTTTGCACGACTTCTTTGAGTGCTCAACCGCACTTTTTTGCTAAGATTCGTCTCCGAACACGGTCTCGTTCTGCAGAAACCGGCGGTCGCGGCTTCTTCACGATGCGCCACGTGGTTGCTGACGTCACTCCCGCCCTCCGCGCCGCTTTCCACCGGCTGGACGCGCCCGCGACTTTGGGGCTCCTGCGCGGGGCAGTCCCGATGCTCGCGCAGCACTGGCGGGAGATGACGTCACTCTTGGACGCGGAGACGTCAGCGGGGCGCCTGCGGCTGACGGAGGCGCAGGTGCTCGAGCCGCTGCTGACGTACTACGAGTATGGGCAGATCAGGAGCGGAGACGAAAGGTGGGTTATCTCGCTAGGCGCCAAACAGCTGTTGACACAGATGCGCATTCATCCAGCCGCAACAGTCTGTTAACCTTGCACCCGTCTCGAAGTTTGGAACGTCCGTCTTCTTTTCCTTCGAGGTGCCTCGCTAAACGGGTGCGGGCAGATTGCGACCAGGAGCGATTTTCTGTTGCTATTAGTACTTTCTTCGCTCAAAGCATGAAGTATCTTCGCTCTTTACTTGCATTTACCAGCTAGCGACAGCGATTCCATTTACAAGCAGTCCCCTCCTTTCTGTCAGACTCCCTCAGCAAAAACCAACTCTTTTGACCTGCAGAAATGATCCTTTGGTGTGATATCTATTTCGATATTGCCAGCCTGGCCTTATTCCACCTAAGCCTATAATGTGACCTACCAGACAAAAACGCAAGCTCCTCCTCCGCTCTTAGATCTTATGTTCCGCTCTTGATCGACTCCTCCGGATTCTGAATCGGGATGAATTGTTGGCACGGGGATAGCAACGCTGAGAGAAAGTCTTCTGGTCTGTATAGCACTGTCTGTCAGACGGAGACTTCGCACGTCGATACGAGGAACACCCGCTCCCCAACTTTTTTGAAGCCCCTGAGAGACATTCTCTTCGCAGAACGGCCACAGACCATCTCCCCGCCGTCAATTTCGGCGTCCACACCTCCCAGGCGTCCAAAAGCGCGCGCACAGAACGCGCGCACTCTGCCGAAGACTCCGGCCCGGACAAGGGCCCCGCCCTCCACTTCACCGTCGAAGCGACCGACCCGCGCACTTTCCTGCACTCCGCGCGGACGTACTTCTTCGGCAGCAGGGGGCAGAATCGCCCGGGGGAATACAACCCCGAGGAGGAAGACGACCAGGCTGAGTACGGCGGGGATGAGGGCGAGGGCCCGGTACCAGAGGAAGTGGGTTCCAAGGATGTGAAGTGAGTTTTGGAGGAGCTCGTGAATTTGCATGACATTTGGAGGGAAGTTGCTCTTTCCTACTTAGGCCGAAGCGCTCTTAGGCGCAACCGCACCGTGTTTCATCTGCATAGGCTGTTGGGTGTATCTGGCATCGCATAGGGGATGACGGGGACGGTCCAGTTATAGAAGACGCGGAGTCCAAGGATGCAAAGTGAGTTTGAGAGGAGTTGGTAGTCTGGTTGGTATCTGGGAGGAGTTCGACGCTTCTTACTTTGGCGAAGGCGCTGGTTTGCAATGAGCAAGTGCGCCTCACGACCTCCGAGTTGCCATTGGAAGTGCTTTTGCAATCTTAAAGGCTGTTGGCTGCCTTTCGATTCCGCGAGCTTCGATGAGTGCCCCCAGATCTTCGTCCCGTCTTTCGGGCATACTTCTGATTCCGAGCGAGACTGAGCGTCTGTTCCCACCTTGAGAGTCAGGGCGATAGCGAGCACTGAGAAAACGCGTGTCATGAGCACGTGTCGGACGTGAGAATCGGAACGAAATAAATTGACTAGCACTATTTGTAAAAACTATGCTGATTCGACAAGTGTCTGGCCAGATACCTGGTGCAACTCTATGTGGCTCTCGTGGCGGCCTGCCGGGAGACGCTCGCGAATGTAGCGAAGACCAGTACCTTCGACGAAGGCACCATCAAACAGGTGCGTCATGCTTCGTCCCGTGAGATGCTTTGGACGTCTAATTACTTTTTGCATGGGCGCCTGTACTATGTGAGAGCTTTAACAGAAGCTGGTTCGTCCGAGGTTCTGAGAGGAGTCAGGCGTTGTCGAGGGGAAGAAAGTTCCAAATTGTAATGGCAAAGAAACGAATCTAGTAATACTCATGCGAGGTCAGTGTCGAGGTAAGACGAGTAACATATCCCCTAGCAGGGTTAGGAAGCTCTGGGAATCCTAGACGTTGCAATCATAAGCGTATACTTGGATTGTGAAATCCGCTCCCCCTTCCCGCAGCTCCTCGCAAAGAACTTCCACCAGGCCCTTCCGCAACACCTGACTGACGTCACGTCCTCCGTAACCGACACCATTTTGACGTCACTCCGGGTCGAGGCCTGGGTTGTCGATCCGCTGGCCGGGAACCGCTCCGACGTCCGAACGGAAGGCCGGAACGTCCGAGTTCTGAAAGCGCGGATCGCCGACGTTGCGAGCGTAAACAGTCCCGGAACGACTTTGGGCGACCTCCTCTTCGCGGAGAGCTTCATCAGCGAGACCGCCGGAACAGATTCCGCCGGAGGCGATTCGGCTCTGGTCCTGACGGACGGCATCCCGGCGCTTGCCACCTGGCTCGGCGCCGGAACCGAAGACGAAAGCTTCAGAGCTCAGCGGGACGATTTGCAGCGAGCTATGGGCGCCGTGGCTCCGCTTGGCGACGGTCCGGTCGCTTTTCCGTCCGCCGGAACGCCTCGCGGCGGAATGACGCCCCGGGCCGGAACCCCGACCGGCGGCCGGGGCCCGCTGGCCCGCCTAGGGATGCCGCTACAGGAGATTGGGGAAGATGCGCGGGTGGTGCTCGAGTGTGAAACGGCTCCCAGCGTGCTCGGAAAGTGGTACGCTTTCGAGTCAGGTTTGGTCTTTGAGGGCGACCGGTCGGGCCTGTTCATAATGGACTTCACGGCGGGTGACGTCAGCAGCGCTCACGTGCACCGGAATGTAAATGACCACTCGCCGGAGGCGCTGGTGTTCTGGTGTAAGGCGGATAAGTGCCCCGTGGCCTCGTACGGGGTGTATTCACACCTCGCTTTCCAGAATGCTGGAGAGGAGACCGCAAGTCGCCAAGCCGCGAATGGTGTGAACGGGCACGTCGAGAGCAACGGAGTTCCGGAGGCTCCCTTCAAAAGCAGCGGAACGAACGGAAGTAGCATGGGAGTAAAATCAGTGGCAGTTGCCTTCGATCTGCTAGCGCTCACCCCGACCGCGCGCAAGCACTACACGCGGGAGATCCTTCCGGTGTGGGAGGCCGTCTGGGAGCGGAACGGGATCCGCTTCGGGCACGGAATGGAGGTGCCGTTGCCGGCGCTGCTGGCGCACGAGGCACGCGATCGCGCCGCAGGGTTTGGGGGTTTAGGCGGCGATACGCTATCGCTTGTTGGCCGCCGAAAGACCTTCACAGTTGCTTCCCCGGACCTTTCCGTAGCTGGTTATCTGCAGGGGTTAAAGCTCCAGGACGCAGGTGTGAAAAGGCCCCCTGCCACCCCGGCAAAGCGCTCGGAAGCGCCGATTTACATTACAGTCATAACGGGCACCCCGGGGAGCGGGAAGCACCTCCTGGCCGCCGATCTGGCCTCATCGAACGGCGAGCGGCGCTGGCACGTTATTGACACCGCGGGCGTCGGCAGCCCGCTTTCCTTGGATAGTGTCAAGTTAGAAAAAGAGCTATCTCGTGTATACCAGTCCGTTCGGGCCCCGGTGACGAGTAACGCCGAGCCTAATAAGAGCCCCCGCGTTACCTTCGTCGGAGTCCCCGACCACGTCCTGGTGATTTCCCCCGGGCTGGTGCCAGTCAGCCGGGTTATGGAAATTGTGGAGGGAACCGAAGCGGTAAAGACCGGTCGATGTGAGGTGGCTTCTGTAACAGCGTGCGTCGAAGCGAAGTTGTTCTTTGAGGACGCCGCGAGATGGAAACCCGCCCCAGGAGTTATGGAACAGGTGGGTAACAAGCGACTTTTCCTCTTTCTGGCGAGTATCTCAGCTTTATGAACCTCTTCAACCGTTCTCAGCAGAGGAATAATGTTTCTGAAAGTAGAGAGAATATCGGAGACAGGATGCCTGAGCAGTCTAAGAAGAAATGACCAGATGACGGCAACGTCTCTCTCAGTCGTGAAAGCTTGGCGAACGCACGAGGCTCAGCTGCTTACGGAAATCGTTGACCAGTCTGCCGGCATTCCTTCCTATCGCATCTGCTTGATGCTGACACGTCTCGTCCTTGCGTGGCCAGCTCACGGCGGGCCACGTGGACACGATCTTCTTAATGGACGCGGCCGCGGAAGAGCGCGACGCGGTGCGAACCTTCGTCCAAGCTGTCAACCCACTGGCTGCAGTCTTTCAGGTGCGTCATTTATCGTGATCAACATCCTTGCGTTCAAACTTCTTTTCTCTTTATATGTCTACGGGGAGGGTCGTTGTTGTGGACGCCGCAATCGTCCGAGACCCGGAAAAGAGCAGAGGCAGCTCAAAGCCGCCAAATGCATCTTGTCGTGGGCGCTTCTCGTTGCGTCTCGAGTAACCACACTCGCCCTGTCAGATAGAGTGACAGTAGATGCGAGTGGCCTGCCTGTGGGTTGGATCAAACGTGGTCGGATGTGCCAGAAAAGATGCCTTTTGCTTCGTCAAGGCCCCTGGAAACTTCAATCCTGCAGCTTGCTCCTTAATCTTACAAGCGCCAGCAAGGATCGATCTGACGGCCCAAGCTTGTACATAGTCGGACGACCGTAGAAAGGTTCGACGGAAATTGCACTTTCTGGAGTACAAGCATCAAAGGCTAGGATTTGCAATTCAGGGTTTGGGGTCCAGATTTTTCGGTTTACTGCGAAACGTTGCATGTGAATAACATGAGTCTCATCTGTACGCTTCCGTTTTGCAGGTGACTCGGTCCACTCTTACCGAGTTCGCCGACCACGCATTCGCGCCGCACGGGGCCACTCTTGACGCGCCACGTGGCGGCACCAGGTCGCTTCCCGGGTTCCAGCTCACCAAGGAGCTCGCGTCCGCGCTCGCGTTTAGTAAGGGTTCGGCGGAGGGTTTGGCGCCGCTGGCGTTTATGGGCGGGGATGATTTGGAGGATGTGGTCATCAAATGTACCGGGCAAATAGATGAAGAGGCGCTCAAGTGGGAGCTGGCAGGTGAAGAGTACTTTTGGTTTCCTTTTGGTCACCTGGAATGAGGGCTGATGAGATGTTCGTACATAGGCTCTTCAGATTGGAGGTCACTTGGAGGTTTCCACTCGCTAAGAATAATGGGCAAGCACGTGACCCGTCGACCTCCTAGATGATTCCAGCCAGTCCTCGATAGAGTGTTCAAACGAGAGCTCTGCATTTCAAAAGGCGCCGTTACAGCGAAGCGGTGACAGGAAGCGTCCAGCATCGGGCTTGTCAACAGGTCATTCAGCGGTTTAAAAGCAGCCGTTGAACCAGCAAGATTCTCTCCGCTCAACGACCGACCGAAGCTTTCAATCTGCACGTTGTTGGCAGAGGGCTAACTTCAAGTTCTCCCCACTACCTCGAAAAGCGCATTGGATGTGGATTCTTACTCCTTATCGACGAACTGTGGCAGTAAGCAAGACAAATTGGTCCCGTACATGCAGGTCTCTTCTCCGAGACGTCCCTCTCAGAGCCCGCGTCGCCCCGCGCGGCCACGTCCCAGCCCCGCAACCCCCGCCTCTGCTGCGTCACGGGAGTCGTCACCACCGAGACCGGCGGCCGGGCCAAAGTGACGGCCACCAAGGCGACCGTCAGAGTGGAGCGCCTGGCAGACCCCGCTGATGTCATCAAGACGCCCGCGGATGACGTCAGCAGGCCGCAGCCCGGCGCCGAGTTACACTTCGTGGGCGCCAAGCCCCTCGACCGGGGGCTGCTCCGGGGGGTCTTGCAGAGGAGCCAGGAGTCGGCGCCCTCCTTCAAGCAGGTATGACGTTTGAGCCAAAGTGGATATGATTTTCCATCCATGGACGGCAGCGTTTACTGCTCGGTAAGGAAGGAAACGGCAAAACCTCCTAAAGATTTACACGGCGCGAGGGAGGGCCGTGTAGAAATTGCTTCTGAGTTCTCTATTCCCGGTTCTCCTAATTCCTGCATATTCTGAAAATTGAAAGTGGATTTCCGGCCATGCTCCATGCAGGAATGCGGGAATGAATTGCAGGACGGTTTCCCGTTCATATCATAATGTTATCCAATCCGTGAATCATTGCGTTGCTTCTCGTTTCTGATTTATTTCATCCTACATTCAAGCAGGAGGCCCGCGTGGAGAGTTTGAGCCCGGGGGAGATTACTGAACTAGAAGAGGCGCACTCGGGGGCGCCATTGCCGCCCGGTTGGCACTTCGACGGCGCATGGTATGTGAACAGCTGGGGGGAGAAGTCGGCACAGCACCCGGAGATGAAGAAGTGGATTGAGGAGTATTTGAGGAGTGAGAATGAGCAAGTGGACAAGCATAACGAAGGCGTGCGGTCGAGGAGGTCGGGCCTCGTTCCCATACAGTTTGCGTGATTGAAGAGCTGGCGTACTGGCCCCTGGGCCGTTCGATGGCCGCTAAGGGCAACTTCGCATACTGTCCAAAGGCTAGAGTTAAGATGTGAACGTTGCAAGATAGACCTGCATTGTTCAACCTGACTTTCAACGTGTCTGCACAAAACTCAAGTAGGGCGATGCAGTGACGCCTTGCGGAGCGGTTGTACGCTCCACCTTTAATTCGAGTGACCAGATTACAAGCTTTGTGGTCGTAAACACCTCTAAAGTCGCAACGTATTGTCCAATCCCACATCGTATCCGTCAGATATTACATTCTGCATGTCATTTGGTCCGGCCGGCTTGTTAAATTTTCTGCCGGTCAGCGTTTATTGTGAGCTCTCACCACAAGCTATGGGCGAGGGTCATGGCTGCCGCCCACCCGGCCCAGTGGATAAGTCGGATGCCGCCCGCCCTATCTAGGAAACATGATGACTTGCTGTCGAACAGATCATGTACAAGTGCAAGTGCAAGCCGAGCAGGCGATCGGTGAAAAGAAGTAAGAATAGCTCTGCCATTCGTAATGTTATAAAGTTGGATTGTTGAATCTAGACGCAATCAAGCATCGCATACGGTACACGTAGGGATACGTCACCAGCGGTTAAAATTCAAACCCACATTAGGGCAACTCAAGGCTTACTTTCTAGGAGTCGATTAATGCGATGTTCGGGAAGCCTATACCGGCACAATTGCAGAACGTGAACTTATTTGCTCTATACAAGTTATATGCAGCCCGAGTATGTTCATGAGCGTTAATTACAGTCAGCCGGCCGAGATGATTAGTTGAGACCGCTTTGCCTTTGATGAGCACATGCTACCACTAGCTCGGTCCAGAGCGGGTTCGATATGTATGGCTTCACGTACTATGGCTTCAGGCTTGTCCGCGAAAATATTTCATTATAAGTCAGCAGCAGATTCATAAAGAGTGGTCTTGTCTAGTTCAATCGAGCGTACATGTTCCGCGTACGTGACATGTGACATTCTGCGTATGTGACATTTGCCCCGGCCACAAATCTATCAGTGAATCTTTATGAGAATCTCAGTATGTTGGGTCAAGTGGTTCAACGGACCTGCCGTGTTCGACAATTGTATTAATTGCATTGATTGCAGGGTCAAGTGGTTCAACGGACCTGCCGTGTTCGACAATTGTATTAATTGCATTAATGACCAAGCCTTATCTCAATGCGCTGGGCCCGGGGCGCAGAGATATGCTAATTACATTGTTCGCGCCTATGATTATCGAACCTTCTTTACGTCAATTTTGCTATGAACATCTTGATGATCAGCTTCCAACTCGTCTGATGTACTTGATCGGACGAAGTGTTTTACTGTCAACTGCAAGTCACTGGACTAATAATGAGCACTCCCTTTTCAATACGTTCGGACAACGTTGCAATAAAGTAAGGCCCAACATCTGACGATTGTGAAGATGAGCAACATCGGGCTCAAAGTGAACCATGGCAGCCTTATTTTGCTTTGGCGACGATTGTGTCGCATCCGGCCGTGCCGTTGTGCTCGTGTATGCATCGACGATGCTCCAGCCAGCCGCTTTGAAGATTGGTATCACATGCTTGTTAAAGACAGCCACCGTGTACCTGAAAGCAGGGTGACATGAAGGGTTAGTACTTCAAGATATTAGATAGAAGTATCGTTGCTCAACATTAGGGTTGTTAGGACAACGTTACCACCAAAGCTAAGCTCACTTCGTAAACACTTATCTTCCTCCAAGTAAACGTGGTAGCCATGAGCTTGAGATGAAAGAATCAACTTCTGTAAAAAAAATTGTTTGCCACCCAATCAGAATTAGAGTATAAACTTATCGCAAGCCCTGTTGTCTAGAGCGACTCCACTTCGAACTTGTACCTTTCGTAAGGCTGCGATGTAGAAGCCTTGGATGTTCTGAGGTGTTCTAGGGGTGTTCTAGAGGTGATCATGGACCCACATTCCTTGCCATGCTCCAGATTGACAGGGTTTTGCTTGAACCAATCTTCATGCTTCTTAGCAGAAGGTCCAGAATCTTTCCTCAGGAGTCAATTAGAGAGAAAATTTTATCACCCCTAGAGAAGCAGAAAACTGCTTACCGTGATGTCACGAAGCTTTGCTCCTCTTCTAGAACCGCTTGCCAGTGAGCGTGGTGATTCCCAAACCTATGCCAGGATGCGGTCGTGGCCCGAAAGATTTTCGGACCAATGAAGCCCACTTCTTCTACCTTGGCTATAACTTGCTTGATGTTACGGATATAAACAATCGATCTCTCGAGCAGAACCAAATCCATTCAGCTCCCTCCACTCCCTGCACTTTGACAAAAGACTGAGTTGGCTCGTCGGAAAAACGACAGAAGGAAAGCTTTGCTGACATGCACCTGCGGACTTCGAAAAAGCGGACCAATCTGAATCGCTCAAAAGGAGATGGCCGGGTGCTTGGACTATGCAGTACGATAAAACAGTTGACGGAGCCGTGGTGTTGGCCCTGGGACGATATCAATGCCCAGGTCGGGCTCAATGACAAGCTTCGCTGGAGCCAAACAATCTGCTCTTTGATCCAAAGTAAACGGTAGGATCCGGACATTGCAAACAGGTTTCAGCAATCTAAGCTACGACTATGGCACCCCACTCCGCATCTCACTTACAAATCTGAAGAACGAACATTGCAAAGAACCTTGATTCTGAACTTTCTGTTGGTCTGCCCGAGAATCTCCAAGTATACTTACCTCCCAACGGGGTTGCAGAAATGGTTTAGATCGTGGAGGCCGGCGTTGAACCATATAGCCGCAGCACCGTTTGCGTCCTCAAAGTGAATAGCTGCTGACTCAAATGCCGCGCTTGCGTTCGCTATCTTTACTGGTAAACCCCCATGTAAAGAGGTGTACTCTAGCTCAAGCCAACGACCACACTGACCGGTGCTGTTGTAGTGTTTCTGGAGCTCCCGCGTTTGCATTGCCATCACAGAGTCCCCAAGTAAGAAAAGCTGCAAGAAGAACGGGAGAAATTGTTCCGGCACATCTTGGATTTGAAAAAATGAGGTCCTTGAGGAACCAACCGTAGAATGGTACGACTGTCGCCGTTGCTCGTCCAGGGCCAAAGCCAAGACTTTCTGGATTGACAACCAGCGGCAAGTCCGACTTTTAGAAACAAAGACTGTCTTGAGAACCAACAGCAATCTCTCTCATCCCCGCGACTAAACTGTGAGGACCTCCGCTGCCATGCCAGAAGTTAGTTTGCACCCGTGTGACCTGTTCAACCAAATCGAAGATGTTCTGAGCATGTTGGTAACATGTTGGACGCTGCTATCGAACATATTGAAGCATCATGGAACTGAATGCATGATAGAGTCCCAAAGGTTATCTGTCATTCCATCAGGACCAAATCACACGGCATTGACTTAGTTTTGTTGTCCAGCTTTGCAAAAAAGACAAACCGGCTTGAATACCACCTGCGCAAGCAGCAACCAGTGCTTAGCACTTCACTTTTTTAAGCCCCTTTTTCCAAGTTAACATCTTGCAAACGTTGCCAGCCAGTTGAAGAAAAAAGGTTTCAGGACATCCGGCGCTGATACTCATCCTCCTACTCATGACAAGTATTAAGAAGCCTGTTCGTCTTCGAGCCGGAATACGAAGGCATTGTTTGATCTCGGCTTTTTCTGGGCGACTCGGACGTTTTTGCCCACACCGTCTGCCCCTTTTCCCAAACCTGTTCTCCCGAATAACTTGGAACAAGAAGACCTGCACATGAAAATAAGAGATTGCAAAGAGGTTGCAGAGACCTTACCTTGAACTTGTGCTCACCGTAGCACTGCTTGAAGGTCGTTTCGTTCATGCACTCCCATACGGGGAGCCGGCATCCTAGAGGTTGCCACGTGTATGTAGCGTTTAGAAAACTGACACGTGTTGTTGTAGCATCGGCTTCAGGAACGCTGGATGGGGCCGGCCTTTCGAGTACCCACCTCCCTCTGGGCCCGCCAATGTCGTCTCCTTCGCAGAGGCGGAGAGAACTTTGAGAAGGCCGAGAAGGCCCTGTGACAGCGACCGTGAAAGGACTGCCCTTGATCTCCTTACCCTCGAAGTATGTTTGCTGCAACAATGGAAGGACCGTGTCACTAGTCAAGTAAGATGGGTCGCTTAACTCATGAGTATCTCTGACGTGATGTCCTCTGTCAGAGGTGACGTACTCGAAAGTGACAGGGTTTGCTGATGAAAGAGGGTTTTTGACGTTGAAACTCAACGATATATGCAGCAAGATGCTACCTTACAGTTGCTTACTCTTCCATTTTCCAATGTTCATCCGCTTCCCGCATCACTGCTGTAGCGGCCGTACTTTCCACGAAACTTTTCGAGGAGTCTTAAATGCTATTCATGGTAATCTGAGGCTTGCCACGTTAGAGAATAACGCAATAAGGGAGAAATGCACCCCAGGAGATACAGGAACCAATCACCGTTTTACTCGTTGATGACTTGTCTGAGACCTGTCTGCACCTTAGACTCAGTCAACATAGCTGCCTTGGATCGGGGAACCGAACGTTCAAAGAGACAGAATTGGAGACCAAAACATGGAGGCAAGAATGTTGCTGGCTAACAGTGCAATTCCTCCATGTTGAAGTCACCTACTTGTGAGAGAAAGTTCGGGTCTCCCTCGCCGAAGGGGGTTGCGAAGTCAACTGCGACTTGCAAGGTGTAAATTCCTGGGTCGTAGACTTCATAATAAACCCGAAAAATGGTGCGGTTGACTCGCTCTGAGTAGCCAGGCACGATTGTTGGCCCCACCAGCCTTATGGAAAAACATCGTCGTTGTGTTCTCCGTAAGGTCGATCGCCTGCAATAAATCACACGTTGTCTGAAAAGCGTGCTGGAAAGGGCAAGTTTAGTACACACAGTGGGTGCACGATAGCACCACCCAAAGCTTAAAGCATCAACAAAGCGAAACCACTTCTCGGTCACGTGGACGGTTAAACTCTACTGTGCAATTTCAATGCATCAATTCAAGCCACTCGTTAGTATATAGATGCGGCTAGCAAAACCTGCTCCACGTGCAACCGTTCTGTACAGGTGAAAGGCTTACCTGATATTGGGCACATATAGGGTCGATCTTGATCAGAAACTCCGTCTCCTGATTTGTTGTTGCTTGAGAGGCTCCATCACCGGAGGCTGTGATGCAACTCGCTAAAACACCATGTTGAAGCCTGCCTGATCGCGACACACACGGCATCTCCCCGGGAATGTAGCTGCCTGCGGTCGTTGGAATCGCATACAATCTATCCACTGCGTCCAAAGGATACGCTCTCTCTGTAGTTTGGTTCCTGCAAAGGTAGAGCTGAGATCAGCAACTGGCTTCTCGTAGCAAAAGTAACTAAAGTACCTTACCTACAGGCCTAGGTTTCTCGGTGGGTTGGAGTGCCTTTTGTTTAGGCATCTTGGCAGCCAGTATTACTGCCCTCTTTGTATTGTAAAAGTCGAAAGGTGCCAGATATGAGTCAAATCGCCACGCTGCACTTTCAAAAGATCAGTATACAAGTCAGCTTGTACTAAAAGTGTCTGAAGCATCAGGCTTTAAAGCATTTGCATCTGAGATATGATCATCAAGTGCCACAGAAAGCTGGTGATTGGATCGGAAATCGAGAGATGGTGCATAGGCGTCTTCCCGCACTTTAGAGTAAGAGTAATGAAACAACTGGCCGTGCTTTTATGCAGGCTCTACAGATCAGCAAGCGGCAAGGTGTTGCTGATACAATCCGTGCTGCAATCATTTTTCCACCTCAAGCTGATTCAGTACTGGGTTGATTGAGAAGAACTATATCAGACAGTCAGCACATGGACAGAGGAAACATAGTACGCTACCCCAGGAACAAACAGTCGATGTGTACTCAAAATTAGGAGACAAATTTTGAACCTAGTAAGTAACGTTGGGCAAATTCATCCTTGGCAGCATTTGAAGCCTTGTCTGGGGAACCAGAATCTGCATCAGAAATGTCCTTTTTAGCAGCCTCATACCACCGATGGAAGCGAGTACTTGCCTTGAAACTGGGTCGCCACAGAAGTTGGGTGTCAGAAGCCTTGTTACGCCAGAATGTGGCCCATCATTGACCAGTAGAAACGCCAGACATGCTGCCAGTGCTGCCAGCAGGATGGACATAAGAGCAAGTCTCCCGCACACATTCTTCCAAGCACTGGACACATGCGAAGCTCTTTGTTTGTGCTGTTCGTGGCCTCATTCTAACAGCTAAATAGCTTTTGATGGCCAAAGAGTGTTCACTAATTAGCTGCTCACAAACTGCAGAGCGCCGGTTGTAGTCAACTAAAGCACCACAACGTCATCAGTCTTCCCAAAGGGCCGCCAGGAACCACGAACTGAACCTCCAGGTGTTCCTGGTTAGTTCAAGTGGTTGTAAAGATCCCATGCAACCTCCATAATGGAGCTTGTCCCCTGAACTTGACCCTGAACTTGAAGTTGAAGGCTGCTGTCTGAAGAGACTCTGCGAAACGACGCATGCCTGTCTCACAGCTCAGCATTGGTCTGGCCGTTTCTGTTTCTTGCCTTGACGGTTGTTGTAACCAATGTGTTTCAGCTCTTTGGGCTTTTTTTTTTTTTTTTTTAAAATGGGTCGGCAACGCCAACAGTCCGAAGATATAAGAGTCCGGTCTCGGTCTAGGATCCTCCTACCCTAGACAAACTCTCTACATTGACCATCCCGTTGTCAAAAAGCGCACTTTAACTAGGTACATTTCGGGGTCCCGAACTTTCCGCTGGCTGGGGCTGGCACCGTCCGATGAGTGCCACGTATAGGGACCGAGTCCAAGTCTGTCAGAATTGCACTTGTACACTGCGGCAGTACTTTCTCCGTCGAGT